GAAATATCATCATTCGTTTGAAACTTTAAATAAAAGTATCAAAACGCCGCCGTCCCGCGTACCTTTTATAAGAAAAAGTATAAGAAACTAAAACTAATTAAAAAATAGTCATTATCTGTCATAATAATCTGGTTGAAGTTCTTCTTTTGATTTGGTTATAAACGAATCCAAAACATGATTATTTAAAATTTAGAAAGGAAGTAAATATAATGTAATATGTAGGTACTGCCTAGGAGGTATCTATACACACTGAACTACTAAAATAAAAATCATATAAACAAGTCATTGTTATTAATTTCAAGTTACGTATAATTTACCTACCTACATTTTTTTATTATTTACTTTCTGACTTATATTTAAATATAAATTTTACATGATTATTAATAAATTATGGCTAATTCTAAAATAATTATAATTATGTACCGGCATATAACATTCTTGTGATTGAATTATGACGTAGATACATGAATTATAGTGTTCAGAAAGTTAATAAAACAATATATTCTAGGAAAACACAACGTTCCATATTATTTCTTATTAAATACATACAAGGAATGATAACCTGCTCTATATTATGTATCTATTATTGAACTAAACACTGAAGGAAGACATTATAACATAACTACTTTACTTTTGTTCTGTTATTTAAAGTCGAATCATTATTACGTTTCTACTTATACCTATAAAAAGTATATATCTACTGACTTACCTACTACTTAATTATAATATACTAATAATCAGAGACAGTTTCAAATACCTAACAAGAGGCAATATAATATATCAGTAAGATATTTTACATATTAATTTAAATTCACTGGATATTATTAGATATTAAATTTCTTTCTGCGTTCCTTAGTTTATTTCTTATATGCCCATATTATTATGTAACAAATATTTTTAAGTACCTTGGGTGATACTTGACTGCTACAGATAATGTACCTAGTGTAGTCTTATCATGTAGTAAAATATTGAAATCATTTCCAAACTATCGAGAGGAACATAAGTAACGTTACCTAAACCTAGAGTTTTCACAACAGACAAGTACAGCCAAAAACAGTACTTACGGCCTATGGGTACAAAAATATCTTATTACATGATTTTTTTCAATTAGAAATAAATAATCAATCTATATAAATACGTATATTCCAACAGGTGCAATCAGCCACAGTTAGGTATAGGTGACTTCCTGAAATCAACAACAACAATTATGGTATTGTATGTGAGAATTCTCATAAAATTTATGCATATGTAGATACATAAGTTTTTGTCAATACAAAATATCATAATTCTCTATAATCTGTACTTAGTTTGACTGTCATAGGACATGATGTTCACCACCTTCACTTGTTATTGTCATTAAATATAAATTTTCTGTTTTAACATGCATAATAGATACATAATGCTTACATACCTAATTGTACATTAGTGTAATTTGTTCTTACCTATATTGGTATAAAATACTGATGGCACTTGCAGGTATTATTTCATTTATTGAGACGAGAAAACTAGTTCCAATAAATGAAACTTATTTTTATCTTATTCCAATATCAATATTTAGCATTGGTTTAAAATACGAGAAATTATATGATTGGTCACCTACTTCTTATTGAAAGTCTGTGTTGGTTGTCTGTGGCTGGCTGTACCTGTACCTACTTGCATGAAATGTGATTAATCAACGACCGTTTAAACAAATAATTAATACCTATAACTGTCTTCAAGACGTTACCAATGCATATCAAATTGTGAGTGAGTAGTTAAATTACTACCATTATTTGTATATCAAGTTGTACACAATTATTAATATTTACCTACATGTGGTTAGATATCTGCTGCCATGGACATTTGCCGTTGCCTGTATAGGTACCTATCTACTAAAGTATTACCTAATTAAATGGATTGACCCCAGAAAAAAAATGTAATATAGTCTCTATGTATAAAAATGTAATATAGAACCCCAGAGTCTAAAGAAATAAGACTTAATATAATTTCTTTAAAAAAATCACATCTAAATTCTACTTTGTCTAACAATCCTTAATTAATGCTACAGCATCAATCTTTTTTACCAGTTCTTTGATTTGAGACAATATCCTTTTACTCGAATTAACTTATAGTCCGCGAAACGAAATTACGAAAACAACAATATTTATAATTTTCATATAGGTATATGCGGAAAAATGAATGACAGACACAAGAAGAGTACTACCTATTATTATACGTGCAAACAAAGTATACGCAAGTTAAATAAACATTATCAAAAAAATATTGTACCTAAATCTTTTTTTTAATAAGAAATGGCAAAAGTTTATTAAAGTAAGCGGACAAAACATATCATAACGTATTTTTAAACACTGGCCTGTATTATATTACAAGACAATGTTCGTGTAATAAGTAACGATATGTACTAATATTTTACGTTTATAGCTATTAAACTACTTACAATGAACATACATACATAGTTCTAAGATTAAAAATTTGACATCAACAAATTATTAATGTTTTTTATTTTGCCTGATCTAACTAACCTGTATTAATTAGTTAATAACATAATATCTCTGCAAGACCGATGGCTGACTGGTAGAAAGTTCTACAAATGAGACCGTAATATGTATTTTTACCTGTTTATTAAATGCATTAGAGTCACATATATAAATAAATAATATTGCACATGCATTGTTTCGTTCAGAAACATACTCTATGACAAATATGTTAGACAATTACGTGAGTAAGCGAACTGTTAGTAACAGAAAGTATTAGTTCCGTAGCAGGCAATGTAAGGTAACTAAATACTTTGTGTATTGTCCACCATGGGTTAACCAATATGACTTTATCCTATTTCTATCCTCCTGCACTGGTGTCCCGCTATAATGTGTATGTAGAGTGAAGTGAAGTAAGTATGCAGAGCGAGTAATATACCTACAGTCTTTGGAGAATATCCCTAACTTTTGAAAGTATGGATTGACTAATATTACTATTGAAATTATTATTGTATTACTGTTTTTATTCCCTATGTGTGTGTACAATAAAGAATAAACTATACAAAAAGAAACAATATATAGGTACTTCTATATAACATTTATTTTATGTAACAAATGATTTCTTAGATCTATAAATACTAATAAAATTTAAATAGAAAAACATTTATTAAATTAGTTTAGGCCATTTTGAAATTCAACGCAGGTTTCCACGCTATACTTCAAGAAAAGAAAATTTCTGTGCCTATAATTCGTACTTTTCAATATATATAGTAAAAGTGATTCGGTTATATACAGTGGCGTAGAGTAGTGACCTAGGGGCTACGCGGGGCAGTGCCCCAAGGCCCTCAAACTACAAAAACAAAGGCCCCCTGCCTTCGAACCCTTACAAGAAAATCTCGATCGAGATGAACTTTTCAAAAATTCTCCCATTTTTAAAATAAATATGACGGGTTGCAATTCGACTTTAATCATGGCAACTCAGATGAGATAAATTCGAAAGTTATACCTTCGGAATCAATTTGAAACATAAATAGGTAACTACTCAACATAATAAAAATATACATTGTTACTATTACCAAAATGCTTATTTAAATGTAACATCCTGCAAACTTCCAAAAACTATCACTAACATTTTACATGCGTCTCAACAAAAATTATAATAAAAAAAACATGGACTGTATATATTTTTATTTGGAAGACACAAAAACCTGCTATGAAATTGCAAATGACCCAATTATGTATACAACGTGCAATAAAAAAATATTTCAGCAAAATGTGTTCGACTAGGCATCGTTCCAGCAAAGCATTTTTAAGTACTGTCACATACAATGACACATAAATAATTTAGAATTTTACCAGTATAATTTATAATGTCGAAACTCCAAAACGTATATTTTATGTATTGTATATATTACATGGGTTATTATTTTAACTTTTAACGCAAATAAAAGATTTATCTATCTATTATGATTACTTCCTAGATACATAAATATACCTAGGTAACTAAATTATTACTAGATCAACACATTATTGACGAATTATTAGGTGTCTACACGGTACCTACTCAAGATATCTTTCACATTTACTGTAAGTTACTCGTCTAGTACGATTTATGTACTGTGTTATCAATGTATGTACAATATTTGTAAAAATCTGGCTTTATCTAATTATTCTATGTTTTATGTTATAATTGACAAGAGTGAACTGATGATTGTGATGATAGATATAAAATCGAAACATTATAAAACAAAAATAATACTAGTGTGACTTATTTGGTATCAAAAGTATACCTATGTTAGGTGTACGTATATCAATATCAAGGTACTGTATATGTGATGAATTAACATACATTAAATAACAAATTCTGTAACAGCCATATTATTTATTTCTTATAGGAACAAAAATATACATATTAAATTGCAAAAGTTTAGCAATTTTTCATCAAGAGTCAGAGGTACAACCTACGACTACCTATTAACTATCAACGTTGTGGTGAACGCAATACATTTGAGGGCGTTATAACCCAGTGATTTAGTTACCAGAATTAGGCTTAATAAAAATTTAATTTTTTCATTATCTCTCCAGTTAAAAGTTGTTATGGAAAAAACCCGGTAACAAACCAAATTAATCCCTCTGCCACACTATATTCAAAGTTTAATCACAAATACTAATTTATTATCAGGTACCTAGTAATATTATTCTTTAATTATGATAATAATAATTTTGAATAATAACTAGTGTAGTTAACATTAAAAACGGTGTAATTGGGTTTTATGGGAATAATAATGGCGCATAAATATTATCCTTCATGTTGTATAATTTTAGAACCCAAGATAAGAGCCACTACTCCAGTCATAACTAGACTTAATGTTATACAAGTAAGAAACACATAATTATTATTTTTTTGGTTCGTGTGTCAAATTTATTATACAATAAGTTTTTAGTGGATTCAAATTATTTATGTAAATATTGCATATAGGTAATATTAGTATGTGTAAAATATTTTACTGTATAATGTACTGTATTACATACAATCTTTAACCCATTATTCAATAAAATCTCTAACAGTAGTAACATCTACTGAAATGTTTATCCTCTCATTCGAGTAAGTTATTAATTTGAATAATCATCGACTTTATGTCGTTATTTCGGCTCTGCGTTTTTTAGTTTGAATAGAAGTTACAAAAAATGTATTACTCAAAATGGGGTATAAATTTTTATACTGACGCGAGTATTTGTGTTCTGACTAAATAATAAAGTTATAGTCGAGTTGTTCAACTCCACATTTTCAAAATAAACTAAACTGAATCTAATTATACAATAAAAAAAATACCATAGGAGAATACCTGTTTTTAAAGATTGATTAAAATACGATTTGCATGGAATTGTATGAAGTATGTATACAAAAAATAGCAGAAATTATTATACTGCAAAAGAATGTTTCATTTTAGTTTAAAAAAAATCAATCCACTATTTGTTATATAACTTAAGTTTTAAAATAATAATGATAATTATATAAATATAAACCATTTTTTTCAGTACATCTCGAAATTAATAAACCTATACATAAATTAATAATTAACACAGTCATATCTAAAAATAAACCAATGTATGGTAATCTAATAAATTTCAAAAAATAATTTTCACAATAACAATAATACTAATTTCTATTTTAGATTTTCGATTACAAAGAAGATTTCCATTTACATCTTATTTTCTTAACGCTGTGGAGTTTAAGAAATATAGAATGGGGATATATAACATTTCACAGCTATGATCCATAAATTTGTGTAGTCACAGCAAATCACCAGCATTATTTTGCACTGTTTTTCTTTTCAGAAATAAATTAGAGGTTTAACCTGAATAAATAAACTGGCAAATGGTGTAACAAAAAATACCGATATGTGATTGGCTATAATCAGCTCAATATTATAATCGATCATAGCTTACAACCAACAATGAGTCATAATGAAAAACTTGAAAATTAATTTAATTGCTTAACAAAAGGTAAATCACAGATGAATTGCTGCCTTTTAATGTTATTGTGGAGCTATTTTTTTATATTACCTATACCAATTCTTCAATAATCAGCTGTGCTATACTGCATATATTAATACGGTATTATTAAATAAAAGTGTAATTTACTGTCAAAGAAGTAAGTAGTCATTAGACTGCAGAAACATGAAAGTTTGCAAGTGTAAAAGCAATGTCTCCTACATAGCTGTGATTTACAATTAATCATACTCACAAGCATTAAGTTTAATTTACAGTACTTTGTTATCAAGCTGCTGAACAATTTGATGAGAAACTACTTTAGTGGCAATGGAAGCATTAGGAATAAGGAATCTATCCATATCCTTTATTAACAAATTATCACCATCTGGTAGACCATATTTGAAAGTTATTAATTCTGGATGTCTCTTTTTAGCTGTAATCTTGACTATTGTTGATAATGGTCTTCTGGACATTACTTGGGCAATACCCTTTTTATTTGGAATATCTCGCAATACAACCAAATGTGTTTCTGTGACTATTAGAAAGGAATCATGCATATAACCATTTACTAGAACTTCTTGACATGGAAATTTATCAATAACTTTGTGCTCTTTCAAAAACGAATTTATGTCCACAATTTCTTCCAGTGAATCCATGTCGGTACCATCACGTCTAATTTCTGACCGGGAATCATCATCTTCATCATTAATGCTAAATACTGGTGGGACATTTCTATACCTTTGTTCTTTTTTATCATTTGCAGAAACATGCCATTCACTATTATTTACTGTTGAATTTGGATTCACAATGTACTCAATAAGTTTCCCCTTGACTTCTTGACTTTTAGCTTTCATTGCTGAGGATAACTTACTGAATAGTTGGATGGCAGGTATGTTATCTCGAACTATAGTCTGACGTAATTCAGAGCTACTATTGTTATTGTTTGGAGCACATACCAAGCAAGTGGAAGGACTATGTTCTTCTAAACAATCAGTCATATGTGGACCAAAATAATCATGTATAGCTACAAATCCTCCATCAAGAATAGAAACATGTTTGGTATTTCGTTTTAAGAATGAGGCAACAACCATGTGAGCATAACTATCTTCTTCAGTTCTGCCAGAACCAACAAAACACAAATGTTCACCAGCAGCAAGGGAGCCTGCAGCTAGTGCTTGGCGCTGAGCATTCAATAAACCTTGAACTGCTGTATTAAATGCATTAGGTTCTTGTAACATTAAATTACAGTCTAAATGGAATGCAGTCGACAAATGTCCAGAATTATATTGCTCTGCTGGTCTACAATCTACCAAAAAGAATTTAACACTATCTACATCTGTGGCATCTACTGTAGCACTTTCAATCAATTCATGTACAGCAACAGGAAGACACAAAGCTTGTGAATAAAGTTTTGAATTAATTTCTAAGCCACTTTCAGAAAATAATACTTCTAATACATCTTCTCTAAAAGAAACAGGTGTTTTCAGAGAATAATAATGTGCAAGTGAACAAAAATCTGATACATCATTTGCTTCTAAGTCGGCAGGCATTTTGCTAAGAGTTTCAATTATAGTTGACTTATCATCATTTTTCATTTGTAGTAATTGTTCTCTGGTATTTATTATCATAATAAGGCAAAGGAAAAATATGAAAAATGGATCTGACCTTTGGAAATATAAGTCCCACATAAAAAGGACAACTTCTAAATTGCATGTGCCTGCAAAAAGAGATCTCAACCATGGTAGGCAGTACTGCTCAGGAGTTATTCGTTTAGTATCCAAAAATGAACACAGTTCAGGATCATGATATTGAAGTACCAGTCTCAGTATGTGAAATGGTACACCATTTTTGGTGCATCCTCTTGGAATGTATAACTGAATAATACTTTCAAATAAATTATATGTATCTGACTTTGGTAATTTCAAACTTAACAATGGCAATAAAATTTCAATCCAACCATTATTTGAATTATAATTGATACCTTTAGATTTACAATAAAATGTGATTATTGACTCAATATCTGAGATCACAGATAACTTTTCATCTTCATCATTGTCCAATCCTTTTACAAATTTCTTTACATCATCTCGAAGTACATTTTGATTAGTCAAATCAAAAATTTCATCAAATGTTAACATCTGATTACTTGCATCTTGACAATTTAGACAAAGAAGCCAAACATCTGGACGCAAACTCTCTGGAATTTTCTTCCCTTTTGTAAGTCCATTTATATCTTGTGCAGTACAACCATCCAAAAGAGCAGATTCCAATTCAATTAACCTGAAATATGATTCAAAGAAAGATGACACAATTATATTCAGAATTACAATATAACCAATTAAATTGCTTCATGGACATATGAATAAGATTAAAATGTAATGAAGTGAAAAGGTCACATTTTTAAAAGATTAAACAAACACAAATATCACAAAAATAACTTACCATGTATTATCCTCTTCTTCACCAGCCATTTGAAGATATCAAATAGTTTGCAAATAAAAATATCAATGCCTATACAATAGTAAACATTAAACTTTTGATTAATGTTTGAACCTATATTTTATTGATATTGTACACAATCAGAATTAAATAGGGTTTGGTCACTGAGCAAATAATTGGTTAATAATTACAATGGTTTAGTATTTCTATAGTACATTAATTATTGAAATTCCAGATAATCACAGATCTAATCTAACTGGAATACAGATAAAAAATACTATGCTGCGACAATACACAGAGTAGTTTTATGGGATTACAGAAGAAAATTTAATATTTAAATAATTAGCTATTAATATAAAGTTCCTTTAAGGCTACTAATTGTTATACCAATTAGTAATTTTGATTAGTCTATTGTTGCTTTTTTAATTTTCTCTGACGACGATGCTGATAATTTCATAGACAGAGATACAATGCATATGGCCAGCTGTACCTCATATGTCAATTAGTGTCATTCTGACAGTCCTTCTGTTCTGTAATTGTGACATAAAAGTGGAGTAATAAATCGGTGTTTACGCATTATTGTATTCGGTGTTCGTTTTGTGCTTGTTATTATCAAATCAATATTTATACAATTTATTTATCATTGTATATTACAGATTTATTATCTTTTAAATAGTTTCTAGATTATACTAATCTAATCATTATAATTGTAATCGGTAGAATAGAATACTAATGAAATTTATTAGAATTAATGTTTTTATTATAATCTTATAATTGACCAGTGTGGCCTCCGTTTGTGACAATGAGAGAATGCTTTGATTTGTTTCCAAATAAACAAGCTTTTGTTACTTTTGTATTATATATTGTACTCTTTGTTTTTCAAGGTGAGTTTATATTTTGTTTTCAAAATATGGTAATAATTTAGCCTACAACATATCATAACTAGCTTATGGTTGTCCATCTTAATGTTTTGCTTACTCTTACTTCTATCGATGTATTACTATGTTCCAAGAAAATTTATAGTAATACATTTTATTTGAAGTGAAAGTTATTAACATACCCCTTCGAGTTTGACTTACTGCTACTTGTACTTCATTAATATGTTATAGGTTGCATGCCCACCGGTGGGTCACTAATCAACGAAAGTAAATTTAAATAAATGTTGGGACCGAGTGATCACCTATGGGCAATTTAACTCAAATTATTGTACACTAAAAACATATTTTTAAAATAATATATGTAATTAACAATAAAAAAACTGCACTTTTTTAAACATCAGTTTCTTTTTCTTCAATTTTAAAAACCAATAAAGCAGCCTCTTGCAAAGAGAATATAAATATTAGGTTGTTGGGAAAGAGATTTCGTTTTTTTCCTGACAGAGAATTTAATTGTATCTTTTTGCATCGAAATTCATACTTAAGCTATATAATTTATATATGCTTTGAGAGCTCATGTGGCAAGGCTTGTGTGTGAAAAAATGCAATTAATTCTCTGTCAGGAAAAAACGAAATTTCTTACCAAACAACACATGTGCAATACTTAATACTTGTTTATACACCACCACCGTGGGTTGGGGGGCTGGTGCTGCATATCTGGTATTGACACTGGCCACTTCTCACCCTGCTGCAATAACTATCATTCCTTAAATATTTTAAAATTTATATCAATTATCATTTTGTGGCAATTTTCTCATTATATATGTATATATATCCAAAGCATTAGTACTTTTTTACAACTTTATGGTCATGTGTTCATAGAGTAATAAACATCTTGGTGAAATATAATGTATAATAATATAATGAATATGTTGCAGGTGTAATAGTTACTGCATCAAAAACTGAAAATGGTGGATATGATTACAACACAACTCTTGTTGTATTCCTGTCTGAATTACTCAAATTGGTCATATCAGCTATTCTTTATTCCTATAGAAGAGAGTAAGTATTCATATATTTGACAATTGTAGTTTTAAAGTAAATTCAAGCAATCTTGTTTATTACTTTGGCCCTTAATAATTAATATAACCCAATTTCTAGAATTATTACTATTGTATTGAAAACTAACTTGATTTCAGTTATTTTTTGTGCATATTAGTTTATCAATAACATATAAAAACACATCTGTCATTGTATTCTATTTTGAATTAAAGATGATTGCGTATATAACACAATGACAGGTGAGTCCAGAAAAAGAAACTTGTAATGTTATATCTTTCGATGTAATAAAATATTCTTATGTCTTATCCACATGTAACCATTCCCACACTTGTATTACTACTATAATTCCATGAAGAGTCATTATTCTCACAACTCGCAAGTTGCATAGTTTAGCATTAGTTTTAAGTGGCATTTAAATATAAATATTATTTAAAAATTAAAACATACATAACTTTGTGGACTGGAACCAATTGATAATTACATAAAAGTCTATATATGATATGATTTATGACAATTATTTTAACTATTAGAATGCCAAAAGTAACAAATAAATATACTAGATACAAATTATTTTACAATGACAGTATGTAGTAATTATTTTAAGATTATTATTTTATTAATTATTTGTAATTATTATTTCAGCAACAAGCCTCAAATTGTCAAGGCAATTGTGATAAATCACAAACTTTTACTGTTATACTTTATACCATCTCTGTTATACTGTTTCTACAATAATTTGGCATTTATTAATTTATCACATTATGACCCAACTTCATATTACATTTTACTTCAATTCAGAGTTGTTATAACAGCTGTGCTGTTCCAGGTAAGAGATTCCATTTACTATTTTTGTTAAAATAAACATATAATTAGTTACATGAATTAGAGTATTTACAAAACTGGTTGTCATGGTCAACAGGATCAGTCAATATATATATTCTACTTACTGGCATACAGAACTTCCTCAGCATCACTTTTCATTCATCTCTCTACAGACAAAAAATATTTCAATTTGAATCACTACTTTCTAATATTGTCATGCTTAGCCAGATAAATAAACATTTTAACTTTATAATATATCTGGCTACTCGCCCCGGCTTCGGCTCCCGGATGCAGTTTCAACATATTTTTCACATTTCTATTATTCAATGAAAGTATGATTAAGTATGATTATCATTTGCTTATTTTATTTTCAGTTCCTTTTCCAAAAGAAACTTGCATTCATCCAATGGATATCACTAGGAGTCCTGACTCTTGGATGCATAATAAAAAATTTTGATGCTGCTACTGTCCAATCAAAAGGCGATACTGATTTTTGGTCTCAAATATTTAATATTTACTTTATTTCAATTCATTTCCAAAATTTTTGTTCTTGCCTAGCAGGAACATATAATGAATATTTAATGAAAACCAAAGGCTCTGATGTAGATATATTTTTACAAAATGTTTTTATGTACCTGGACTCTGTTTTATGTAACTTTTTTATTTTATTATTTAAAGGTGAGTTAGGTGGTGTATTTGAGGATTTTCAATCTATAGGCGATACATATGTGATATTAATTATAATAAACAGTGCCATAGTTGGTATTGTAACCAGCTTCTTTTTAAAGAATCTTAATTCAATACTGAAAACTTATGCGAGTGCGTTAGAGTTAATAATAACCGCCGTTGTGTGTTATGTATTATTTCGTATACCTATTACATCGTTTACAATAATGTCGATATGTTTAGTTATAATTGCAGTAACAATGTATTTTAAAAATCCAGTAAGTAATACTGTACCGAGTTCAAATGAAATTAGAGACAAAAAACCTCTTTTAGAAGTTACTTCGTATAAATAATAAATGTTTAAAGTATTAATGGGTTTTTAAAATGATAATCTCAAGTACCTGCTTGTGGGTAAGAAACTCGTATTTAGAATACAATTCTACCATTTACAATTTAGTATTTATAAAGTTAAGTATATCCTGATATTATTATTTATAAGTATTACCACTTTTATGTAAATAGGTACGTACTTATTTATATCTAAAATTTCGGATTATAGTCACTGCGTATATTTAATTTTATAAGTTATTCTACTTCGCTTCCGGCCTTTACCCGCCTTGATCTATTACTGGTAAATCCCTACTAAACTGTTATATCCATATACTAAGTCCCATTTGTCAAAATTGAATACTGAAACTCAATGTCGTTAAAATACAATTCAAAGTACTATGGCGAAATTCATTTATTTCGTGAATAGATTGTATCGAAACAGGAAATATTTCGAAATTAAGCCAATAGTTTATAATTTATAAAATACAATTTAATTCGAGAACTTGAGAGATTAAACCTATAAATTGCAGTATTAAAATGTATATGTACCAGAATGAAAATACCCAGCTAACGTCAATGTGGATACAGTACGTAAGTAATGTTAAGAAATACCAGGGACCTAATTATGTGACGACATTAACAGTGCCCAATTCTAGCTTGTTCACCAAGACCATTTCAGATTTACAGATGATAACTAAGAAGTTTGTAATTGCTACAGTTAAATGATTCGTATATTAATGCTAAACTGTAACTTTCAATTCATTACGACTGAAAATTTTTAATAACATCCATACATAATTAAGACCCTGACTGTGTTTACTGTAGAAAATATTTATTTTATTTATTTTATGATGTAGATTATCTAATGCAGATTGACGGCTTTCAATTTCGAGATTAAATAAAAATTGTAGTAGCGTTCTCTATCTCTACCATTTTAATACCGGATATTTTTTTCCGTTCAGATAAAATTATTAGGGTATATGTGTATATACGTAAACTATGTAGTAGTTACTATACGTAGTCATAGTACAATTATAATAAAAACTAAGCAATTTTTATGTTCTCTCTCATAAATAATACAATAAGTAAATAGTTGCGATACTAAAGTTGACATTTTAAACAAAGCCATTTCTAAGAACTGTTTAAATAATGAAATAGCCTTATACCAAATAAATGAAGTAATAGAATATAGAATGATTTTATACTTTCGTGGCACAACACTTTGGCCATACCAGAACACCATCCCATTATATTTGTGGGATAACCATTGCCGTAGCTACCCAGGGGCTAGGCGGGGCAGTGCCCTGGGGCCCTCAAAGCTTACCAGAAAATCTCGATCGAACAGAACTATTGAATTTTTCTTCCATTTTCAAAATAAATATAACGGGTTGATGATTACTCATGGCAACTCAGTTGAGAGAAATTCGAATGTTATATCTTCGGAATTCGCCTAAATTATTTATGTAGGTTGGCAGTTTTGTCAATAAACGGAAAGCAATTGTTGCGTTTTAATAAAACTGTAATGTAGGGCCCCATTTTTTTTATTTGCACCAGGGCCCTTCGTTAACTAAGTAAGTCGAACGAACATCGTCTTCATAAAGAGACAAGCACTATTTTATTATATAACTAAGTAAATAGAATTTATTATAAAAAATTATACAATAGCACTAAATATCCAATAATAAAAATTCTAATTAGAACGAGGATTCTCATTGTACTAAAAAAAATTTATTGTTTATACGAAGATATTTGTACACAGATTATTATATATGCTTTTGTTTAATGAAAGTAGTATATTTGGAGCTTTTATTGCATTGTAACCAGTGAAAATAATTAAAGGAGTATATAAACTTGCGACTTTAAATTCATATAGGAAAGTCTGAATTCAGAGGCGTTGTCAACTGTAAGCTGTTGATGAAGGAAACACTTGACATGTCTTTAATTTATTAAATTTGGTACTATTTATCTGTTTTCATAAGCAGAGTTAAACAGAAAAATGAATAAGACTACGAAGATTTGAAATCGGGTAGAAAATCACTCCTACAACAATCATATTTATACAACATTCTCAAGTAACAATAAGTTTTAAATTTTAACTTATAATTATTTATTTCATGACAATGACCATTTCCCGTGAGATTACTGTATCTCGTGAAGTTGGATTGTAAAATAATTTTCTAACTGGAACCGATCTGTCGGGGTGAGATCGTGGCTTCTCTCTACTAATAAAATATTGTCGGTCTGACTAAACAAACCAGTTTCATCAGGCAAATCGAGTATTAAATTATCTTATACATAGACTATAAAATAAAATGTGAAATAAATGCTTATAAATTACTATGTATAAGTATTACTATTTTATATAAATTAATTAAAATTTTTAACCAACGTTAAAAGTCTTCCTATTTTTAACAGATAAAACATGTTTATTTTTAACCACTTTATTACTATTATTTTTTCTAATTATTTACATTAATTTACATTGTTAACGCAACAAAATACTGCAACGTCACCGAAATACCATTAAGATTTCAATTAAACCTTATAACTAATTGCCATTCTAAGAAAATGTCAAATATGCATACAATAATAACAGAAATATTAACTAAAATACTTACAATGGCCTTTATATTATGCTAACAGTACGAGCACTGCAATACGCGACGGCGTCGAACCGGCGCTAAATACTATTTTGTTTCTCCCAAATACTTCAAAAGTTGATTGGAAAATATCCTTCAATTGTTTGCGATTGTCTACTAAATTGTTCTTTCAAAATTGTTTTTAAATTATATACAACAATTATTTCGTAATACACACTTGATAACGATAATATTAATGACTATTAGGAAGGATTAAAATGCCTCAATTACTACGACTAGAGACAATCAGTTTTCAATAAAAAATAAAGGTACATACATAAGCAACACACGACAGCAGACATAATCAAAATTTGCAGATGGTAACATTTATAACAAAATTATAAGAGTGTATATTTTTACAATTATGTATCAAACTTTTCACAATTGTAATTGTGAACATAGGTCGTAACTGCAACTCGCAAATGCTTTATACTAGACAGGAAGCCAATTATTAATATTATTCACGGCGTTACATTATTGAGGCTCTGGGTGTATCCAATTCACTAAGTTTCTAGATATAATAGTTTGGGGTTAACTGAGTGTTTATTTATAAATGATCTATCTTTGGGCTAGACATAAATAATGTAACTCTAAATACTGCGATATTAACAAGACAATATATTTTTATATTCTATTTTTTTTAAGCCTGGTAATTATACAAAATACACATATGTAATGCTATCTTTCTATTATAATTAATATCTGTAATATTTTAAAGCTTATTGTGCACATTATTATCTTGGAATTTAAAAATATGTTTTCATTATAACAAAGACTATATATTTTATAAAAAACTAGCTGGTATCCGGTGCCTAAATTGTACTTTGTACCAAGTACTACTTTGACCTTGTACCAAGCAATGAGTTATGATGGATGGACGGTATGGCTGCATATAAAATATGAACAAACGAATTATACATATATAAGTCTCCACCTAAAGTATAATTTTTAACTTATTATATTTTCAACTTATGATGTCATAGCAGGCTTTATCCAGAAAGATATAATATTCCGAATCCACTTAGTGTTATCTCCAGCAACCACATTATAAAATCCTTGTAAAAAGATCTCTAGTTTCATTACTACAATCATTGGATGTCGGGTTATTAAACCTTTTGTATAATAACTTGTATATGTTCTACATTATTATAAGTAGCATCTGCTATCAAGGCTTTTTCTTCACAGCTCATATTGGTTTGTATAATAGTGTAGTGACATATTTCTTTCTGTATCTATGTGTAGCTGACAGCACCATCACTCCATCTTTGATTGATAAGGCATATAGATGATTTAACATCACATGATTTGGTTCAGGTAATAATGTTGGTTCACACTGAAATTATAATTATATTAATATAGTAAATAGTTAAATTAACAACTCTGATATCACACACCAGCATCTAGTTCCAAATTAAATTGACTTAAAATGAAGTATAATAAACAACTATTCCAAAGATTTTAATACATAATAGTTTAATTTATATACAACACCCAAATGATAATTATAGTCAGTCATACACATGTGGAAAAGGGTACTGTTTAGTAACATGGACTGATTAGCCCATTACTAGCAATATACTATGTCAGGTTGACCTCCATGTGGTACCCCCTGGTAACCATCATGATAAATCTCTGGTCCATTTGTCATGATGGGCTAACTGACCTGACCTCATGCTCATCGTAAAAACCTCCACTGGTGCCTAGCCAGCATAAACCGATAGTGCAAAAAAAAGCACTATTATCATCTAAAAAAAACAATCATACACATAAATAGGATTATTCTTACTGTGCAGGCATTGCCCAACCATTGTAAGTAAGGTAGTATGTTAATCCCTATGGGCAAGAGCATTATTATTATAGACATTATAGTTATAAACTGTTTTGTCTCATTTATTACTTTTAAATATTATTGTAAGCAGCAATTGTATTAGTTTTTATTTGCGACAAATACAGATTATTATTATTATTATAAAAAAACTAAGATTATATTCTTTCTAATACCGAATATTAAAGAAGTTTAATGTGTGCAAATATTGGTTTTAGCTCTAAGTAAATAAAGAATAGTATTAAATACCCAATCTACCATAAACATTGTCACACCATATGATACACATGACCATATGATATGTATTGTAATAAAGGATTAAATTAAATACTTACAGACAATGGAGTATCTTTGTTTAATATTACTTGTAATAAATGAGGTGGTAATATTGGGGGGCCAGACACTTTGTCCCATGGCTTGGATTGTGGAATTTCCTGAAATTTACACAATATTGTTTAAGTATTATAGGGCTATAAAATATATACATTTATACTATTTATATGAACTAACTTCATGACAGATACATTTCAGGGTAGATACATACATAGAATTTAGAAGCCTGGTTACTTACCCAGTATACATATAAAAGACAGAAAGAGAGCCTGGTATAACACATATATTTTTATTTCTAAAGCAAAACCAAAATTATAGTTTAATTTTTATGAATATCAACATTCATAAAATTATAATAGTTACTTACTACATATTAAATAAAAACTTCAAGTAAATAAAATATACCTGTGAATATTCTGTCTGTGCACTGCTATGAATGCCTTCACTGTCTTTAGCCAAAGCTTGAAATACTTCAAAATCTGACATTTTTACTGTAACTAAGTTATTTTTTGAACCCATTCCATTGTCTATTAATTTCTGAAATTATAGTAAAAAAGGATATGACTACTAATTTTTTAATTAAAATATTACAATAACATCTATAAAGAAATATACCACAGTAGGATCATGACGCCACTCTCCATCTACAAAGTATTTGTACTGGTGTTCACCCTCTGGTAAATCTATTATAGTGACAAAATCGCCATGAGACTTTACCATAGGGATAGTTTTCCAATCAGTGAAGGTGCCACTAATGAATACCTATAAACAGTACAATAATAATAATATAGTAATAATTATTATTTAAATATACATAATTTAGTCATTTACTTTTCAACTATTGACCTAATTTAAGAAATTGTACAAAACATTGTAATAGATGAAACGGTTATAATTCTACAATTATAGAATATTTATTTTATAATAATTTCATTCTAACCAATACACAAATAAATCAAATATACAAATAACATCAGTGGAGAAAGACATACTGCTCCAACCTGAAATAATGGGATAATGGCAAGACTTGAGCAAATTTAGACGAATCTAAACAGTTAGATTTGTTATGAAAATGTCTGTAATAAAGAAGCATGTCTGAATATATCATACCTGCTTGCCTCCGCCCTCCCATTTAAAAACTGTAGGTAGAACTTTAACATCGTCTACAATCTTACTGCTGTCTGTAAGTGTATTAGACCTTTCGCGAGGAATATTGTACTCAATATCACTTTCAGGAACAGCCTTCGTATAATATGGGGCACCATCTTCGATGTTATTATCATCTTCTCGTCCACAACGGTCGTCATCTAACTTTTTGTTAAATGTAAAAACCTGTCCATCTTTATGTCCTGGCGATGACGGTCCAATGTCGGGAGGTTTAGATGCATCTCTGCTCCATTCCTTCGTATGGTTGCTTCCAGCATTACCCATTACTATATATAGGCACTTTAAGGTATTAAACCACGACTAATATCAGTTCATTACGCTTTTTTGACTGTAATTAAGCAGTCATAACGAAAATTACGGAAATTTAGTTTAAATATAAGTTTATTTTAAGACTTTAAAGATTAATTAAATAACTTTATTTTAATGTCAGTCTAAGTCAGTTAGTCAATCTTCAATTCTTCACGAATTGTGCTAAATTTATTGAAATCGAAATATCGATATAGTTATTCAGTGACTTAAATAAAATATATATCGATTTTTTATGATATGTCTAAACAGTGTACAGTTATTTAAAAGTTATTCGGTTTTTAATTAATTTGCTTGTATTGTATTAATTAGGCGTTGTTCTAAAATATTAATTAGCTTAAACGTTAAGCTGTTGCTATTGTATTATGGCGGAACTTTTATATGACACCATTGCTGTATGGGCTGAGTCCTTTTGCCTTACCCTGAGACGGGAAATATCAAATAAAAAAAGCGTTGTATGACAATTATTTGACACTTTGGCAAAATTGAACTCAATCTCAAAGATTGACAAATATATTACCATCCTTTTTTCTCATTCACATTATTTCATCTGCGTAAACACATTAGTATTATAGATGTAGATATTTGTCTATTAAATACATTCTGAGAAACCTATCTGATTCTATTGATATTATTTATTCTTCAGTAATTGAATCTATGTCTGTGACTGTGATTGACTAGTTGACTTCTTTATTGAACTGCGAATTGAAATAGAAAATTAGACATCGACTATATTATCTTGTTTGTTTTTAATCTCACATGGGTTTGTGGCATCATATTCCATAACTTAATAATGAGTGATGAAAAGCAACCACTTCTCATAGGGGCTTCGGTACCCATTGACAATGTTGAAGTTCAGACTGTTGAATTAGTTAATGATCCAGCTGTACCTAAAACCGAAAAAGATAAAAGTGAATATCACCCCGCAGCAGAACGATGTTTGGAACATCCCACTTCGAACTTCGATACTTTGATCCACCTCCTAAAAGGAAATATAGGAACAGGCATCTTGGCTATGCCAGATGCATTTAAAAATTCTGGCTTAATTCTTGGTAAGAGATTTTTTTAAAGTTTATAATAATTAATTCATGAATTATCTTAATAGTTCTAATGAATTAGTATTATTTGATGGGTTGTAATTATTAATAATCATAACAATGCATAGTTTAACAACATTAGTTTAAGGGCAACAGGCAAATTTCTTGCTTATAATATATATTATTGGTATCTGTATGTAGATACAATAAAAATAAATGATTATTCAACATTCTTATATTAAGTATATTGGATTACATATTATTTAGAATTCTAATAAAATTTTCTTTCCAAAAAAATGATAAAACATGTTGAAAAATTATGTTTCAAATTACTGATATACTTAATAAATATGAAATATATTCAGGTGTATTTGGAACTTTGTTCATGGGAGTAATCTGTACACACTGCATGCATATATTAGTGAGATGTTCACATGAGCTGTGCATCAGGAACCAAAGGCCAGCATTAAGTTTTTCTGAAGCTGTTGAAGATGCATTTGCTTCAGGACCAATTCCTCTCAGGCCGTTTGCTAAGAAAATGAAGTAAGTGCTTTATTAATTGTAAATTTTAATAATTGTGGAGTGTGTCAATTTTGTGAGTGTCTGTGGTTACTATGTACATAACATAAAATGTAATTTAAATTAAATTATAAGCAAAATGTATTTTTTATGGATGATGATACCCTGCTGATGTTAATAGTATTTGCTTGTAAATCACCAGCAGTAGGGGATAAAATGTAGATAAATTAGTTAGTCTATTGTGCTAAATTGTCCTGGAATTAACAACAATAGTTTTAAAGGGAACCCTGTGTACTTGAAAATTGAAAGAAATCAAATGAGTCCAAACTTAATCAAGTTGCATTGTATTTGGACTTTCATACATTAATTTAGCATTAGATTCAATAGCACCAAGGGCCTAAAATTACTTATAAATGAATTACAAAAGTAACTCACAATTCCTAAATGTTTGCAGAAAGCTATAAAATTAATGTACTATATACGGAACCTAGCAGATAAGCTACTGAAAAATTCTGATTTTTGTTATTATAATGGAAATATAGTAAATCTCGATGAAAATAGTCCTGTAAATTCTATGGTTATGCTAGAAACAACAGAAGATGAAGTAAATTCAATAATTCTTGATTTAAAAACTGATTCGACAATACGATAATATTCCTACTAGACTGCTAAAACTGGCAAAAGACATTTTGGTGCCTTTACTTACGCATATTTGTAACCTGAGCCTAAGTTCAGCTACCTTTCCCAATGTATTTAAAACATCAATAATACATCCCATATATAAGGAGGGAGATGGTGATAATGTAAGCAACTACCGTCCTATTTCATTGTTACCTGCAATGTCTAAAATACTTGAAAAGATTATAAATAGGAGACTATTGTCTTACCTTAATGATAATAATATATTGTCAACAAATCAATACGGATTTAGACCAGGCAAGTCTACGAAGGACACTGTCTCAGAAATGTCTGAATTTATAGCCACTCACTTAGATGCAAAAAATAAGTGTGTTGGTGTGTTTCTAGATCTTGCCAGGGCATTTGATACTGTTTATGTCCCCACTCTTTTAAAGAAAATGGAAATATGTGGAATTCGTGGTAAAGTGCTTGATTTGTTCAAAGATTATCTCACAAACCGTAAACAAATAGTTAAAATTGGTGATTATTATAGCCCTAAAGCTGATATATCCCATGGAGTACCACAAGGTAGTGTCCTCGGTCCTACCCTTTTCTTACTTTATGTCAATGATCTCTGTAACTTATTAATTCAAAATTGTAAAGTCTTTACTTATGCTGATGATACTGCTTTAATTTTTTATGGGAAGACATGGGAGGAGACGAGTATTATAACTGAAAAAGGACTTCAAATAGTGGCTCAATGGTTACACAATAATCTTTTAACATTAAACATCGCTAAAACAAAATATGTTACTTTTGGCATTACAAAAAGACTAGTTCCCACAGAACAAACTAACGTTATTATATTGTTTATGTTCATGGTTATTGTGGTCGCGCTGAGTCACTTGTAAACCTGTTTACGAGCTGCGAATGGATTGGTGCCAATGCAATTCATTCATATTTTGTACAAGTTGAAATGTAAATCTACCCACGCAATTGCAACATTTTAATTTTTACCTATTTGTCGCTGGAAGAAGGTAGTATCTATGATACAGGCTCGGCATAGTATAGATGCTACTGGTAAATTATATGTATGATGCGTATTTAACAAAAATGTAATAGTTTATAAGGAGAATAACTGTAACTACTTAAATTGGTGTCAATAAAATATATTATTATTATTATATATATATATATATATATATATATATATATATATATAAATAGCTTTTCTTCTAATATAAGTGTATTTATTGCAGTAGTTCAGTAGTGTTTTCATTTTTGGGACAATTCTAACAGATGTAGAGCACTCACTACAAAGAAGAGTTTCATATTAATTTTCATATTAAGTTTATTTTCATATCAAGGGATTTTTATTTTTATACAATCATTAATTCATTCACTCAAATACATATATTATTTTTATTCAATGATATATAAAAGAAGGTACAAGTATAAATGTTAGACATATAAAATGTGTAATCTATAATTATGTGTGTGTTAATCTCAATGAAATCTATTCAGTAATTTAGTATTTTTTAGTAACAACTATCACCACATCTTACTGATCTTTGCTTTATATTTATAATAATACTTGTGAAAATAATTTTGGTTTAATAGATACACAAACAAGCTCTGTATCTATACAATTTCAAGTAAATTGCAGCAATACAGTCTGCTGGGAAAAATTGTTTGTAGGTATAACAAATTCATTCACACTCATTTCAATTATCTTGTTTTAAATACTTATAATAGATAAGTATTTAAAACAAGATAATTGAAATTGGTTTAATAGATACACAAACAAGCTCTGTATCTATACAATTTCAAGTAAATTGCAGCAATACAGTCTGCTGGGAAAAATTGTTTGTAGGTATAACAAATTCATTCACACTCATTTCAATTATCTTGTTTTAAATACTTATCTATTAACAGTACCTATATGTTATTTTGTTTGCTGAACACACATAGTAATTATACCCATTATTGATTATAAACCTCCTAATATAAATTTTCCACCCATGACATATTTTGTTAATTTATAACTCATTATCTAAAGCATATTGCTTTCTGCTTATCTGCTATGCAAATATATGAAATTCCCATTTAGTTCTAGCTGATCTTGACTATTATAGGGTCATGAAATCTAAAAATTTAACACCAATAAATTAATCTGTGCGATTTTGAATTTTTAATCAATGGCAGTTTTTATGGAAAATGCTGAAAACAATTTGGTTCGAGAAGCATCTTTTCATCTTTGTTTGATTTAAATAACCTGAAAAGGTGACATATCTGTTGTTACATTTACATACCTACCCGATAATTGCGTTACCTTTACCTCTAGACATCAAGGATTACGGCCATGAAAATATTTATTTACTTTTTTATAAATTAAACCAAACAATTTTAAATTGTCGCTATACCTACACAATTTACTCTGAGGATATACAATCCTCAGACTAAATCGATATTTTGATTTTAATTTCTCACGTGCCTAGTTAAATCTTATAATATAATATTTTATTTTTAACATTGCTATTATATAGTTTTTATATAAGTATGTGTCTATATGAGATCGAAATTACAACCAAGGCTCGATACTCTGGCGGTGCTATCAGACTAAAGTCGTACCCATCAGGCAGTATTTGACAGTTATGTACTCCTTAAGTACTTTTACGGGTTTACAGTGCTTCTGAGGTCGCCCGTATTATCGTCCGGTATAAAACTGTATAGGCTGACTATGACAAACAGCATTATAATTGTCGCAAAGATGAAAACATAATTAATTAACATTCCGTACATAGTTATAAATTATTTGAATTGAATTAGTTCGAAAAAAGTAGTAACTGTTAATACTCCAATTCAGCTGTAGTTTATAAATATAAATATAAATTTCATGATATATATATTGTTTTCTTATGTCGTGCTTATCTGATTTAGTTAAAATGTGGCCATTGAAAACCTAAAATAAGGCAACTCGATCGAATTAAGGTTCATTTGATTTGTTTCGGTGGTTACATGATTGACGTATGTTAATCATATTTTGGGTTTCGTTTGTTCGAAATCATATCAATAAAAAAAATACTCCTACTCTAATAAACCACGATAAATCTGTAGCACATTTATCTAAGTAACTGACTTTCTCTTCGTAAAGCCGAATGAGCAATGAGTTCGATAAAGTGCGCTGCTCTTAATATGCGAAATAGATAATTAAAACATGCTTATCCTTAAACCGAACTACGGTTTTATATGGTTCATGATATAGAAATGTTTTTTTTTAATATATAGACACTGATATTGATCGCGACTTCGTCCGCGTGATACATTGACTGACCGTGTTTTAAAAAATATTCGGGCTGGATTTGTTGCCGCATCTGCCCTGACTTAATATTATTGCCATAACACGGCTAGCTCCGCCTATAATTTTTAATATTTATTGGCATCTGATTTTCATATTCTATTACTGTCTCTCCCTCTTTATCTTCCTAAAAAAAGATGGATAGACTATGTGAAAGAGACTATGCATAAAAGGAGAATAATGTCAGGTATAACGGCTGATAAGTACCGATGAAAGAAGATGACATACCTATTGCGCCGACCCCAAATAATGGTATAAAGGCAAGGCAGAGATGAGTCTCAATTATTCTCAATAACATCAACGCAATCCAGAATTTATTTCAAATGTAAAACTAATTTTACTTCTGATTAAGACTTCGTATGCATGCTCGTAATTGATATAACAATTGGTTTTTGTTCTTCTCCGACCCAATATATGATTTCCATAAAGAACAAATATATATGCAATATACAGAAATATATATGTGTAGGTACTTGCTGGGACAGCAAGTACCCTACACATATATATTTCTATGTTGGCAAACGTTGTTTTGCTATGTAAATTAATATCGCTGTTAAAAAATAGCGGTTGGTGGCAGAAAGGTGAAAACTTAAGGCTGGATGTATTTTTAATGACACATAATAAGAAAATAATATATTTTGTCGAAAAAATAAAAAAAAATATATTGTTGAGGTGAGCCATCCTTAACACTTAAATTAGAGGTATAAAAATTTGTTATAAACCTATTCTCAGACGTACTGGATATACATATAAAATGTCATAAAAATCGGTCAAGCCCTTTCGGAGAAGTATAAACACGAAACCTGTGACACGGGAATTTTACACATTAGATTTTATCAATAAAATTAATAATTCCTTATTACCAAAAGTTTACTTACTAAGTTAAGTACTTTTTAATCCTGATAAACATAATTCATTCTTCAAAATAATTTATGATATCATCAAAGCAAACTTAACTGTGGTTGTTTCCCAAAATACATATTTTTAGACACAGTTTTTTTTATCGGAACACCGTTGTTAACTGACACTCGGTAAATTAAATTGGTGTTTTTGATTGCTACGCCGTTCATCTTCAAAGAGGGCGTTGTAGCAACCAAATACTCCAATTGGAGTCCCATTTAGCCAACCTGATGACTAACCGGGTGTCTGTTACCAGCCTAAGAGAGATAAATAAATAATATGCTTACCATTTTTATCTAGCATCCATATAAAGTTATTTTCCGTCCCGATATTGTTGCATTATGAATAATTAATTTGTTTATTGCGGTTACCTCACAATGTAATGTATATAACAACGCCGTTACACAGACTGTGTAGCAACTAACAATGTACATATATGTAACATGACTTATGTTCATTCTAACATTTATTGTTTCAGGACTATCATCAATATCTTTTTGGTAATAACGCAATTAGGATTTTGCTGTGTGTACTTTCTGTTTGTTGCGACTAACCTTCAAGATTCGATGCATTTCTTCCATATAAACCTAAGTGTACACACCTACTTAGCTTTGTTGTTCCCACCGATATTAGCGTTGGCTATGGTGAAGAATTTAAAGTACTTGACTCCAGTTTCACTGGTAGCTTCCATTATGACGGCTTGGGGCCTAGTGGTTACTTTCTATTATATATTGCAAGATTTGCCACCAACCAGTAGTGTAAAAGCCTTTGCGAGCTGGCATCAGTTGCCATTGTATTTTGGCACTGCTATATATGCATTTGAGGGAATTGGAGTGGTGAGTTTTATTTATATGGATATGTGTTTGCACTTAGTAAAGTCTTTATTATGGCTACTATCATGAAATTTTACCATTTATTAATCATGAAATTTAATAAATGGTTTATTAATGAAATAAAAATAAATAAAAAATAATGTTTAACCAAGTTTCAATTCAGCTATCATAATAATGGTAACGAAGCTTACTGAAACATATCATGTTCTGTGAATTTAGTATTTGCCGCATAAATTAGCAGGCATACAATAAGATTTTTTATAAAAAGCTGCTTTATAAAGAGCTGTTCTTATAATTCGAATACTTATACATAATTCAGGAAAATTTTTTCATGAATATGCTAATATCTTAGAACTTTCATGACGTCTTAATAGCTATGATGGAATACTGAAGTAATCTAAATAATATGCAGGATGGATTGTTGAATAATTAAAGTTACTCGTCCAAAATTAAAATTATCTTTGTTTTGGTTATCAGTCTCCATTCAAATATTTAGAAAAAGTATGAGTCGAAAAAATAGTTTAGATTAAATATTTTTTCATGTCAGTAGATTTAGTTTTTAGTAATAAAAAAACTATCACATCGAGTATATTTAACTGACAATATTTCGAAAAATGTTTTCTTTCCTGTGCATGTCATTATTACGCACTGTAAAATACTAGGCGTCAAAATACGAATACTCCATTTACTGCATTTATTTAGTTTTATTAGAGAGATAGTGATCGCAAATTTTGTTTTAATCGAAAAGTTTGATTCAAATCAGAAGTCTTAACTCAGTGTACCAATTACAGATTTTACCGCTAGAAAATAATATGAAAACGCCAGAAGATTTTGGTGGATGGACTGGAGTCCTTAACACAGGCATGGTCATTGTAGCAGCACTGTATACTGCTATCGGATTCTTTGGATATCTGAAGTATGGAGAACACGTCCTCGGCAGTATTACATTAAATTTGCCAAATGACTTGTAAGTATTCTAGAAATTAATCAAACTTTTATGTTTATTTTTGTGTACAGTAGAGTCGCAGGTTCGGTTCAATTCCTCGCACGATACAAACTCTCGTATTCGTCAGTATGATTGTTTTATGGGTCTAGGTGTTTTCTATATATATCACTATCGCTATCTATCAAACTCTGCTTAGCTTGGGTCTAGATGGCGATGTGGAAATTGTTATAAGGAAAATGTAATAAATAATAAGGTTCATCATCATCATCATCATCGCAGCCCGGAAGACGTCCACTGCTGGACATAGGCCTCCCCCAAAGATCTCCACGACGATCGGTCCTGCTCTGTTCGCATCCAATGCCTTCCAGCGATCTTGACCAGATCGTCGGTCCACCTTGAGGCCTTCCCACGCTGCATATTCCGGTCCGTGGTCGCCACTCGAGGATTTTACTGCCCCAACGGCCATCTGTCCTACGAGCTATGTGCCCTGCCCATTGCCACTTCAGAGTCGCAATTCTTCGGGCTGGGTCGGTCACTCTGGTTCTTCTGCGGATCCCCTCATTTCTGATTCGATCACGCAGAGTAACTCCGAGCATAGCCCTCTCCATTGCCCTCTGAGTGACTCTGAGCTTGTTGATGGGGCCCATAGTTAGCGACCACGTCTCTGTTCCGTAAGTCATCACTGGCAACACACATTGGTCGTAAACCTTCGTCTTGAGACACTGCGGAAATTTGGACGAAAAGATATATCTGAGCTTCCCGAACGCTAACCCATCCGAGTTGGATTCGACGATTGACCTCTTTCTCGAAATTGGATCTACCTAGCTGGATAGTTTGCCCTAACTATACGTAGTGATCGACAATTTCGAGTGTAGAATCTCCGATTTTTACGGGAGCAGGTACGACAAGGACGTTTGACATAATTTTCGTCTTGTCCATGTTTATTTTAAGCATTTTGCTAAGGTCTTCCAGGGTCTCAGCCATGACCACGATATCGTCGGCAAATCGAAGGTGATTGATGTACTCGCCGTTAATGTTGATGCCCAGCCCGCTCCAGTCCAGAAGCTTGAAGACATCTTCCAACGCAGCGGTAAACAGCTTTGGCGATATGACATCGCTTTGTCTGACACCTCGCTGCAGTTGGATAGGCTTCGAATTCTGGTCGTGGAGGCGAACTGACATAGTGGCATTTTTTATACAAACATTTCAACGCTTCGATATATCGATAGTCAATTTGGCACCGCTGGAGAGACTGTAGCACAGCCCACGTCTCGATCGAATCAAAGGCTTTTTCATAGTCCACAAACGCCAAGCAAAGTGGCAGGTTGTATTCTTCGGTCTTCTGAATTACCTGCCGCAGCGTATGAATGTGGTCTATGGTACTGAAACCTTTTTGGAACCCGGCTTGTTCGGGAGGCTGGAAGTCGTCAAACCTGCGCGCGAGACGATTCGTGATGACTCTCGAAAACAACTTATAAACATGGCTCAGCAGTGTTATAAGTTCATATAGTAAGGTTCATATTATCAATAATACTTTAAATAATAACATTAATAATGATGTAATTACGTACCTAAGTACCTATTTCCTAGCAAGAAAAAGAAAACAATTATTTCTTTAAGATATTTCTCAAATTCATTTATCTATTTGTGTAACTGGAGAGACACCGGACGCATTTTAATCAATTGCGGCAATATCACTGTAATTGATAATAACCGTGGCTAACTTTACTTACTAGCTTTAACTTGTTTTAATATACATGAACTCCATTACGGCCATCACGTTATCTCGTTATACTGCTTATACGTTAGCCATTCTAAAGGACTAAGATGTATTGCTCTTATTCTATATCTCAATACAATTACTTTTTAATTCTACAACCGAAACACAGCTTACAAAGCAAGCTGTGTGACGGCTGCGATTGCTAAGATATGCAGATATAAGATTTTATTATACTTATAAATTTTGTTTATTTATGTTGCAATAATGATTTTTACAGATTGGCGCAAAGCGTCCGAGCTGTTATGGCTGCTTCCATTTTTCTATCATACGGGCTCCAGTTTTATGTTCCAATGAATATTGTGTGGCCATATATTAAATCGAAAGTAACATCTGAAAATGCTCTAAAACATGGGGAAGCAGTGACTAGATTTGTGCTTATATCTCTAACATGTAAGTATCATAAATTTCCATTGACATTCTTTGTTTTATAGCAGATAACATATCTCATAATACTAGTTATTCTGTCCTATATAAATATTATAACACACCTAGGTGCATAGGGTTATCAGCATTGTGCTTATATTACGATAGTAATTACAAACAATAATTTAAATAAATATTGCTTTATTATTTATTGGGCAAATATATGATGTGAGATGAAGCAATGGTGCTTCTGTTTATCCCACAAGGGACCAACAGTAAATGTACAGAGAATAACAGTCGTTACTTTCTGATCACATTATTTTTCACGTCTGTTAAATTGTCTATTACAAATTAATACTGTAGTAGTCTAGTGTTTGTGACAGTATCTATGAATGCACATCACAGCCCATGTTGATTTTTTACCATATTCATTAAATAAAAACATTGTTTGTATGGATATCCTTGTAAAATTATAGGAAAATTTGCAAATAGGTAAGCAGCCATTAAATTAAAATGTTAGTCTAGAAAATTAATTGTTATGGCATTATGAAAAAATATTCAGTTTTGTAAATAATATACATAAGTACTGTATATATAATTTTGTTCAACATAATGTTAGCATAAATGTTTAGACGAAGCTGTCACAGTTGCTATGTTATCATGACACTTATCTATGTGAACGAGGACAACTAATGTTTTATCTATCATCCAGTTTCAGCGGCCGCTTTAATTCCCAACTTGAGTGGTATCATCTCATTGGTCGGTGCTTTCAGCAGCTCAGCGTTGGCTTTAATATTCCCACCGTTCATAGAAATAATAACATTTTGGCCAGACCAACTGGGCAAATATGATTGGAAACTGTGGAAGGATGTGGCCATAATAATTTTTGGTATTACCGGTTTCGTCTTTGGTACTTATGCTAGTTTAGAAAATATTCTAAATACTGCCTAAATTTATTGCCCTACACAAACTGACTAAACGTATAACACAAACCAAAGAATTACTTTTTTTATGAAATGAGTAATCATGACAATAATTGTATGTAGTAATGATTTTGATCTGTTTTTCAATTTATTATATTTTATAATATATAGCTTTTAGATAATCGCAGTATAAGAGCTCAGCATATTGTATGAATATTATTTGTTTTAACTTTTTTAATAATAAGTATTAATCACTACGGCATGAGTAATGTAATTAATTAGCATTATTAAACCAATGGAGGATATGTTGGGTTCTTAACTTTACCTAGTGAGATTATTAATAAGTCAGAATATATAGACTATGCTTGTTATTTATTCCCATAATAATTTATCAATATAATTATATTGTAATGAAGTACCCATGGGTATGTATCCTTATATAATATAACGAGTAATTAAGTTTGTTATGTAATTGTGATTTTAACAATTTATAAAATTGAAGATTTGTTTTGTTGGTTTAAATCATTACCGATTTCTTTTTTGAAATCGGCTCCTAAAGATTTTTTTAATTAAACATTGCATGTATAAGAGATATAAACATATAATATATTTTAACCACAACTCTCAATGAATTGTGCATCAGTTGAATGTTCAAGATTGTTGATATACTTAAGTATATAGAATATTAATTTTACAAAACTGTGATTTGTGGAATCTAAAATAATATACAAAGAATAAAAATTAATAATATAAAATATCAAATATTGCTGAAAAAGTTTATATTTATACGATAGTCATAATAAATGGAAGATAAGTGTAAGATTTGTTGTTACACATGATATGTTACAGGATTGGTCACATGCTATACACATGTGTAATATTATAAAGGTATACTTAATAATTTGTGAAAAATAATAATATTACTTTTTGTAAACCTATAGCCTAACATAATTGGTAACATTACAATATATAATTCCAGTTGATGTATACAGTTTTAAACTGTACTTTTAAATTGTTCAGTATTATTTTATTTTAAACGATAATTTGAACTGAACACTATTACGCGTTTAATATTTTGCATCGGGAGGCTGTGTCAATTGAGCTCTCTATTTACTAATGTATATACTTCATTATACCTATAATGTATCCACCATGCAAATTTGTTTATAATTATGAATGTATATTGCTTATAGGGAGTCCTTTTATTTACTGTTTGACATTAATTCACAGTATTTGATCTCTTAAACTTTTGATATTTACTGATGTAACGCAGTTGAATTTTTTTTTATTTTAATTCCGTTTTCCAGCTGATGAAACGTCAGCAAACGATATAGTTTTCAGATTAATTGAAGAATAACTGAATTGTTGTAAAAATAATGAATCATTAGGTACATCAATGATTAAAATAAATATTGGCATGTATCACGGACTACACATGAATTTAGAAATAAGCAAGTGTATACTTAAATTATTTATATAGTTTAGAAAACTTTATTTTTTATTATTTTTTAATTTATTTAATGTTATTTATTCAACATAATGTTACTTCTAAGTGGTTGATAACGGTTTGCTTTCAAATTTATTTATTTAAGGGCTATCCATTAATCATGTGATGTTTCTTCAGTATATTTTAACCCTTTCTCTTGGTGCTGTTATATGATGAAGTTTAAGACCAACCCAAAAAATGACATGTATTTTTTTAGTATCTACAAATAATTGTTATTTTTTTTTATATTATCTTTAAATAAATATACGAAATATTTATTTTAATACAAGTACACCGAAAGGGGAAGAAAAAAATCACGATATATAACGATATATCGTGATTTTTTCCTCCCCTTTCGATCATCACGTGATTAAAGTTGCCCCTATAAATCTCGTAACAAGGAAAACATATTTTTATTCATAGATATACTATTAATCATTCCAATCTATCAATTTGATATGTTTTATAAAAATAAGCAAATATGTGTTTGTTCAAATATGATTGATATTGTTATAGAGAGAAAACTATGTATGTACTAAATATAGATAAATTGGCAAGTATAGATTTTATAACATTAATCTATTTTATTCGATTCTTACTTACGTCTAAGGCCCTTAACTTATTAACGAATGGTTGGAAGGATACCGGTAGCAAAACATTTTAATTATTTTGACCACCTTTATTAATATAAAACAATACTAATAATATCATCATATTATATATAAAAAATAAAAACTTCGCTAAAAACCTACACCATAGTGTCTCATTTAGCTTAACTTTAGCCCAAAGTTATACCTTATATTGGCATTATTTTACTGGATAGTGTGTGCTGCTTAAAATGAAACGTCGGAACAGCCTCAGTCTTTCGTGACGCAAGTAGCAACGTATGAAAATTATTGTATTATACTATACCTGATTATATTTATGCTATACATTATATTATGTTATGCTATATTATTCGTTTACTTAAGGTCAGTAGTCTAGCTGGCCTGTCGCCAACTTATATCAGCCTACGGTTAAACTGACACTCCGCCATCCGTCAATACAATAAGGGTCTACAATTCTATATATTATAGATGTTGTATTGTTGCTATAAGAATGTATTTGCTTCCTTATTGAAATATTATATGGCTACAATTGTACAAAAAAAAACGAAAATTCTACGATTTGTAGAATAAGTCATATTAAACGTTTTAAAACATAATATAGCTATCGTTGTCTTAGTTTAACTACACACAGATATAGATATACATAGATATCGTAACTAGCAGTACTTTTTTGCGTTTGTATTCTTACCCTACTCCTTCCGCTGTTAGCCACTATAGCGCATAATTAAATCGCACAAGTTTTCGAAGAGGATTAGATTAATTCCTAAGTGAAATTTATTTAAAAAAAGTTTTAGAGGGTTGAAGAAAACAAATGACAGTTTGTATTTTCGTGCCTAATTTAATATTAATAATACATTTTATAAAGGGATGTAGTTTATTTACTTTATTCCGGTTTTGTGAAGACCGTGGTGGTACAGCAGTTTAACCCACTGATTTACTTCCGATAGGCAAGGATTCTATTCCCGCACAATACACAATTGTATGCATAAGTATTTATTTCTTTTGTATAGGTCTGTATGTTTTTTACATGTTCCGATTTACCATTCTTTTATAAATTCCACATTAATAAAATGCCTTCGTCTATATATACCTGTATCTGTGATTTAACCATTTAGATCTTTCTATTCGTAAATTCAGTTCCGCAGAAATTTTCACAAGGGACAACTCAAATATATTATGCTCTCTACACATTGGTTAAGATAAAATGGAAATTATCAATAAAAATTTTGATATAAAGATGAAATTAAATTTAATATATCCCGGCGCTTGAAAACTAACAATGTATCTCTATGTCACCCGCTGCATGTCGACGCTAGTACTTTCTCATTATTGATGACTAAGACTATGTACAGGTGTATTTGTCACAATACAAGTAAGGTACAAGTGAACACATGTTTGTACAGGCAACTTATGTTACGACTTAAATTACGTAACGTCATCATCTACCCCGGCCCTTGTCAATGCGTGGGAATTACGTATTATATTTTTACTAGTTGTGCCCGCGGACGACGTCCCGCGTGGAATTTAACTTTATTTTTCTAAAATAAAGGTAGCCTAAGTTACTCCTTATTACATCAACTACCTCCCAATAAAAATCCCGTCAAACTCGGTCCAGTCATTTCAGAGATTAACCGGAACAAACAGACAGACAAACAAGAATTGTAAAAAAAAATATTTTTGTGTAGTGTAATAAAAAATTATTTTAGTTAATATTTTAGTTTTAGTGTATTCCAATTTTATTTATATGTATAGATTTTTTAAGAAGTAAAGGAAATTATAAAAATCTACACAATTTTAACTTTATCTATATATTTAGTTATTATCTTCGTATATTGCTGTTACATCTTCAATTTTTATGTACAACAGTTTCAACTTGTTAATTACAATGATTGTGCTTATATATGGGTATATATTTCACATGTAAATGCGAATTGTTAATGTAAATGTGAAGTCCGTGTTTAACGAATATTGTAATCATACAAAATTAACTGTGTACTTATACAAAAATATAGCCGTAGCATTCAATATCTCTTTTTATTCAAATTAATGGTTCCTGAAGCACTGTTTTTTTTTCGAAGAAAGGATTTTATCTTTTTTAATGTATCGTTGCGAAGTCACAAAGTATTAACAATAATGGTATCCAAGGTGGACCGCGTGGAACCATGGACCGCGACCTTACATGGTATATCCTGATTATTAACAACCCTGCCTACTCCGTAAAGTTTTTTCGAAGTCATCCGTTCTGCATGGATATTACCAGAAAATCTATGGAAAGAGCTATGCTTGGAATTTCTCTGAGGGATAAAATCCGAAACGAAGTAATTCCCCAGAGAACTAAGGTCACCGACATGGCTCTTCGTATCTGTAAGTTGAAGTGGCATTGGGCTGGTCATATCTGTCACAGAACCGATGCTCGCTGGATTAGACGTGTGTCTAGAGTGGAGATCGCGAATTGGTAAACGTAGTGTAGGACGCAGCTAGGTGGAGCGACGACATACGTAGGGTTACGGGTAGTAACAGGATGAGAAGGTCTGAAGATCATGCTCAGTGGCGTGCCTTGGGGAGCCTTATGTGCAGCAGTGGGCTGATGATGATTACCAGAAAAACATACAGACAATGGAACGGAGTTTTTATTATTATTTATTTTAATTCGGATTACATCCATATTATTATCCATATTAGTAAAAACTTATAAAACTATGTTAGTAACTTATGATATACAGATACGTAGATATATTTAATACATATATCTGTGTCCACGTCCAGAAGCACTGGGTCCACAATGCAACGATATCCAGTGCCTCTGGAGCGGACAATCAGGTATATTCGCAACAGTTTTTAGGTTGCTGTCTGTGCTCCCCCGAATTCTAGATCAGTGATGCAGCTCTTTTACGCATTATGGCGTCAAATCCATCTACCCACGTAGTTTTGTATTTAAAAATTCCTTAATTTCTTAAGAGACGCATGGCAAAATAACCATACACCGACTCACTCAGAGCAGGACCTAGATTGGTTTACAGACGGGTCCAAAACAAGAGATGATGTAGGATGTGAAATATGCGGCGTAAAACCCAAAATATGTAACTATATAGGCTTCGGAAAATACGCTTCCATCTTTCAGGCTGAAACTTACGTCTTAATTATCTGGAAGTAATCCTAAGCCTTAACTACATCAATCAGAACATATACATTTATTTGGTCAGTCAAGCTGCAAGCACTTTACTCGTACGAAATCCGATCTTATTAGAAACTGTATCTTGCTACTAAATGATGGAAGCAGAAATAATATTAGGTATACTGAGATGGGTCCCCGGGCACTCAAACATCGATGACAATGAAAATGCCGACCATCTGGCAAAGTTAGGGGCAAAAACCGCCCAATTTGGCACCGAACCCTTCTGTGGTGTGCCTCTTTACCTAAAACTGGGAAGCACTGAATAAGAATCCGAGCAAGAAATGCCAGGATTGATATATATCAATCCTGGCATTTCTTGCTCGGATCAAAATCCCTAATATCGGGCTACTCGAACATATACTCCAATAGACTACTGCGATTGAGTAAAAACAGCATATCCGTGATGACTAGGGCTCAGGCACAGCACACTGCAAATTAAACAAGCATATGTCAAAACTGGGCCTATGCACGACAAAAATTTGCAGATTCTGCCAAACTGAAGAAGAAAAGCCACTACACATTCTATGTGGTTGTAGGAACAACGAAACAACCACATAGGATGTGTAAACGAAATATCTCCTTTGGAAAGTTTACACTTTTTCCCAAGGAGATAAAAACCATCGCTCCTAAGAATATCCTTTAATTCTTGTCCCTGACGTGTCTAGTTAGCGAACTTTGAAAAAGGGCGAGCACAATAGATCTATGTAGGTCGCAGTACTACAGGTGCTACAGACACCTGACAATAGACCAAACAACCCAACAAAAAAAATCCTAAAATAACTGTTTTATAATGGAACAGAATCTAATAATGAAAACTAATACAAAATCATCATTAGAATAGCAACTAAATTTCATATATTTGGTACACTTTGACTTTACTAATAAGGTAGAAAAAATAGTTCGAAATTTCGAACATACGTACTCCATTTTTACTTTTTTGGAAGGAGAACGTGCCTAATTGCCTATGACACTTTAAAAGACGAAATGCTACTTTAAAACCAAATAAAATTGGGATGAGTTTTATAGCGTTGTCATATTTAAATAATGTTATTCTATCTTTTGATTGTAAATGTTAATATTTTAATGACAGTACAATTTTAGTGTATTAAAACTCTTCATTTAGTAATTTGTGGCTCTTATCAAATATTTAGTTTGTTCATGGCTATAGACTTCTGTCACCTATGAGCAAAGAGCCTATGAGTCACATAAATTGCTCATAGGCTATGACCAATTTCAGTACTTATTCAAAATTGCATTAATGTGTTCTAAGCTATGAACGCATCCATTCTTTAGTAGATAGATTATATACATATATACATATGAAAATATATTCTTATATATAATCTTATCGAAGTTCTGAAGTCGTCATATTTCGGAGTTTTTTTAATAATTTAGTTTCTAATAGATTTTGTTTAAATAAAAAAAAACCACTCGTATATTTTACTGTCAATTGAATTGTTTAAAAACATGATGTTATATTTTGTTAATTATTAAAAAAGTATATATATATAGTATAATATAATAAAAGGCAGTGAGAATATTAACTAATTTTACATAAGTACACTTACGCGTAATGATTCCTTGCTCAGTGATATACTGTTTTTAACCATAATTTTAGGCACGTGGCTTTGATTTCTGAACGAATTAAAAAAAGTATAAAACACTATGGTAAAATGTCATTCACCGACAACAATTAAAAAATGTCGGAATCGTGTCAAGACGGTAATTGTCACGGAAATAACGAATATGGACCCGACGAATCACCCACCAAACTCATCGTCAATTACATTCCTGAAGTCATGACCCAGGACATGATGTACTCATTGTTTTCGACAATGGGTAAATTGGAAAGTTGTAAACTGATAGCAAATCGAGGATATGGGTTCGTTGAATACGCTTCTCCTGAGGATGCAGTGAAGGCTAAGAAGGCTTTCAATGGACTGCTCATGCAGAATAAAACTTTAAAAGTGTCCCACGCACTCCTCAATCCAGAGTTAAAGCCGCCGTTGAAACCGGAAGCAGACTGGAACCTGTATGTATGTAACCTACCTAATGAACTGACCTTGCAGGATTTACATGGACTTTTTGCACAATTCGGTAAAATAGCTAATTCCCGAATAGCTGCTGGTATAGCATTCGTTTTATATGAGAACCAGTTTGAAGCGGAGAGGGCCATTCAAAATACAAATGGCACTACACCGCCTGGTTTTTTACACCCATTAACTGTTAAGTATGCTAATAAGAGTAATCCAAATAAACATAAAAACAATAACAACAATAATTTTTCTAGAAATCCATTGGTAAAATCTTATCATTGGATCAATCATATGGGTGCTATGGGTGACCATAATTCTCCAAGTACATGGTCTATTTATGTTTATAATATTGCTCCTGAAGTAGAAGAGTTAACTTTATGGCAGCTGTTTGGTCCTTATGGTGCTATTGTATCTGTTAAGATTATCAAGGATCATCAAACTAATAAGAGTAAAGGATTTGGTTTTGTGACAATGAGAAATTATGATCAAGCGGCAATGGCAATACAAGCCTTGAATGGCTATTTGCTTCATGGCCAGCCTCTCTCCGTTAGTTTCAAGACTCAGAAAAGATAATGCTGTGAAGAAAGACTTACACTTTACAATATCAGTACTGCAATAAATAGACGAAAATAATAGTAATAATATCATTTCATAATTGGCATTGACAAAACAGATATTAAATCGTAGTTCTAATTTTAAACCCTTTGCAAACACACTGCTACTATAATATTGTGTGAAGTATGCAGATATTTGTTGAAAATATTTTATTAATTTGAGCTATCAACATTGTTAAGTTTGTTTCTTATTATGAATAATAATTTATTCAGTTTGCTCGTTAAATCTTTCAAGTTTACTAGACATTAAGATTTGTATTGATGATGATGATGATTGTTGTACGAAAGTTCAATATCAGTTGTGAGCTATGATGCTTCATTATTTTTATCTATTATTTAAGTATAATAAACAACTTTAATGAAAGTGCTTTTACAAGATCTTACTAATTGATAAGCCACATTGAGATGTTTAATCAGCTACTAGTTTTAGTTGTACACTTTTTTATAACATGATGTCTATTTAGGTAGTGAAAACAAAATCTAGATTATATCATATTTATACATTTAGTATAAAATTTGCTGAATTAAAGTTCATTTTCACAATTTTATTAAGTGTTTTTGATTTTATACAATCAAATAAAATTTACTCATATTAATCTTTTATTTGTGTTTAGTTTTCTATACTAATATTCTTTTCTTGTAGTCACAATTATATTAGTACAATAGATTATTGATTGAAATGTGCAGTAATTGTAAAAAAATATTAACCCTTTCAACAAAAAATCTGATAAAACACTATTTATAAGATAATGCATAGTATAAAAATTTGTAATGTGTAGATTGTGATACTTTACAATATTCATTGAAGTGTTTAATTTTGTCATTGATAATACCCCAAGGAAATTGTGTAGTTCTGAAAGAAAAAACCTTATAAAGTCACTTTCCTCTAAAGTTAAAGAGATAGCTCATTCAAACTTTTTGTTTTAGATACCAATTTGTTTGCTTTATTTTTTTTTATACTCTTGAATAATATATAAATTAGGGAGTAGAACCTATAATATTTTGCCTTTCTAAGTTATACATATTAATTTTCTAATCTCTTGACTTTGCTTTAGTTAAGAACTATAAAATATTAACTAAACTATAAAAGATTTTCAAGTGTATTCCTGTTCTAATTACTAATGAATTTTTATAAATATCTGGAATACATTTCCTTTTTTCCATATGATATCTACTTTAGAATTTTTAAATATACAAGTACATTATATAAAACATTTTACTATCTAACCCTGTTGTTATCACTATAACAATCAAATTGATAAATTATTTTATATAAGAATATGATATAAGCACACCTACTTTACACAGTTATTTAATGCATATTAACAAGAGAGGGATACATCAGTTAGACCTCATGATCTGGAAACCATCATGGTTAATATGGTGAATTTATACACAAATGGTAAATGGATTAGGATTGGATTGGATAGGATACCTTTTATAGAGGTGCTGTTAGCATTAGGTTCAATCATGGGTACCACAGGAGGGAACACCTATGTCATGTTTTCATTCTCATCCTATTACTGGTGCACTAACATCTACCCTTAGAGCAAGCGGCTGCACCATTTGGCATTAAAAAGGCAAATCAACATTGTCATAATTTTATGTCTTTAATTATAACCCGTCTATGTACGAATATACATAATATCAAAATAATTTGATATCTATCCTTAAAATAGCTTATAACCATTACAATTACAAATATGTTGTTGGATATAATAGTAGGGATAAATAACGAAAATGCTGTGGTATTACAATATAATCAAAGAATTAGTTTTATAATGCGACTGGTGAAACACGCTTCGGAACAAACTATTATTGGGTAATACGTAATACTTTTGTAACAAGTCAATACATTAATACCTATAAATAAAACTGGTCAGCACCGAGTTAGACTCGCAACAGAGGGTTCCGAACAAATAGTGTAAACAGGCATATCTTTACATGAGAATTTATACCAGTAGGTATGTTTGAAATAGCGAGCCCGATATTACTAATGGTATATAATATATACAGAAATATGTTAAACCAGTAATGTCAGCTTAGCTATAAAATCGGATCACACAAATAACTATATTTATGTCGGGTTTTTCACGATATCTCATAAACTATGGAAGTTAGAATCTTGATATTATTTTTCCCGTAATTTTTGAAAATGGTTTTATAGACTATATCAGATGTTTATGTCCAGAAATTTCGTAAAGGAAAACAGTGCTACATTTATCATAAGTACACTGTGAAGTCTAAAATAAATTATTCAAATTTTAGCTATAATACTGCGTCAGAGAGACGTACAAAATATTACCATTAGGGATAACCGCTTTTATTGAATTATCCAGTGTGAATGTATACACATTATGTCTATATACATCTGATATAAAAGAATCAAATAGTTATATCTAAAATATTACTTGAATTTAACATTACAACTGGACTTGAACCTGTATTCATCACTTGGACATATTACCAATTACGCTACGGAAGAGGACCTACTGTTGGCAATTTTGTCATTAACGCTGACATAAGCGCCATTTACCATTTTATCCTCATAAACTACCTACAGTCGAATGTTCGTGGTTGTTTAATTGAAAATTCAGTATTTATATATAGTATGAGGGAAATTTTAATTTAATATTTGAACATGTACCTAATTTTGGCTCTGTATGCCTATTGAGTCGGGTATTAATTGGTATCAACCTTACAAAATATAACACTTATAAGTAGGACTTTCTCGATAAATCACATACTATGTCATAAGTGAGAATACTTGACGAGCTGTCATACATTTAGTTACACATTTAAAATGGAAGTAAATTTAAGTGTTATTATTATAATAAAAGTAAGAAGAACAAATTGATTGACTGAACAAATAATTGAGCCTAAGGGTATTGGAAACGAGGCCCCATTGCTGGTCATCCTTGGCATGTACCATAGTACCATATCATGTTGACCTTTACGAGGTCAATTCCTGGTGAATTTGACATGATGATCTGGAATCAGTTGTACATCAATCAATTCTTCACTATTACATCAAAACATATATGCATGTAGACATTTTTGTCGCTTATGATCATCATTTTTTTTTATATTTTTCCCTACCTATCATCCATACTATTATCCTTTGTACCTACTACAATGCGACAAATATATCTGTCAGATACGTGGTTTGTTAAGACAAGCTGCGACGATTGCGCGAATTAGTACAACACCGCATAATTTTCAGCGCATGCTCCGTACTGGTCATGTGAATCAATATGTTTGTAGTGAACTATCGGTGGTCACGCAAGTAATCGTTTACTTGTAACTATTAGGAAAAGTGAGATTTCTAATTTCAAAGTGTATTCGTGTGACGGTGAAGTGGCCGTGGCGGAGAGCGAGAGTTCGGGAGTGGCGGGAGGCGTCGGCCTCGCCGTGAGTAGTAAGGTTTGTATCGTGTATCTACTGAAATTACAGGCGGATATAATGAATATAGATAATGCTAAGTACCTAAGCACTGTTTGGCTCGTAATTAATCTGTAAAGCCTTTATATGAATTTGGCTACCCGTCATTGATAGGGTAACGTGATTTTTACAATTATTATTGGAATTGGGTGCTGCAATTGATAACTAAAGTATAGGTATAAAGTTCATTTTAGAGTACTGTAAGGTACTTTCGTGCGAAGCAGACTTTCAAACTGGCTAATTATTACATACGTCGTTATTGTAGATAAGATTAGGCAGACTGTAAACAGCTACGTTGATATTAATGAAATAATGACGTAAAAAGTTAAAGAACCAATATATAAATATCTTAAATAGATAATAATATATCGTTTTTACGTAGACAGTTACCTACACAAAAATTTCATTACATGTGAAATTTGACACGAGTATCTATGTATTTAGTATTCAGTTATAGTAGTGAACACAAATATCTAATATCGTAGGGAAGAGCAATCTTATGACTAGGTAGATGTTTTTTTATGGATACTAAAGCATAATCTTTATATGAGTTTAGTCGCGTGTTTCATGATAAAGATCACTATCTGTATGATAATTTTGAATTTCTAAATTTTAATTATTGTTATTTTCTATTCCTCGTATTTATTAATGAGAAATGAAGATATTTATTTTATAAATAATGTGCTGACTTTGCTATTTGGATTTAGTATTCACACAAAATTTTAAAAAATGTAACTAAATAATTTACAATAAATACATTTACATAAAAGAGCGACAAGCAAATTACTCGCTCATTCTTCTTGTTGATGTTGTTCTTCAGATGAGTTTGCGTTCCGAAGGAGTGGCAGAAAGAAAAAAATACTATTAAAAAGTGCTTATATTATGTTCATTGGAATAAAGATTATTTCTATTTGTGTACCTCTTACCGCTCAAAGGCAATTGCACAGATAATTCAAATGGCTCGTAGTAACGAGTAGGTGTTTTTGCAGTAAAGTAAACCAATTACCTCGAAATATAAACTAAAGATTTTATTACTTTAAATAGTTATTGGTTAGTGTCATCAAAAAAGACGACGACATATTTATGAATGTAGTAGCTTTACAAAAGGGCAATATGCGAGCATAACACCAAAATCCGTGACGACGCCTGTCGAAACAGGCGTATTATGGATTTTGGTGTTAAATCAATGAGAATAGTAAGAAATTTAAACTTATTGTTGAAATAATTTAATTGTGTAACTAAGATATGTAGGTATCTAAGAAGATAAAGGGAGCAGCATCCCTTCAATAAGTTTGGCATTTCTTAAATGCAGGTGTATCCAAGTCCGGGGGCGGCCCGCGGCGTCTGGGCGCTGCCGCAGCCGCCCCCTTGTACGATGGCTGCCGAGGAGCCGTTGCCACCGTGTTCGCCCCTATCTCCAGACGCTCCAGCGGCTCCACCGAGAACCATCACTAGCTACAGCCAGCATTCGGACCTCCATCAACTTATATTTGAGGCCGTGCGCTCAGGGTTAGTGTAAAATATATGTAGAGTCAATCATTATCAACCCACTAACGCCCCTTTGTTGAGTATGGCTCTTTTAATATAAGAATCTGCTGTAATTAAGGAGGCCAGGACAGCTCAAGCTATATTTTATGCATTAGTACCTACGGATGCAGATGAAAAGAAGAAGTAGTGATAAATGATATTCTCACTTATAATGTATCTATAGATGTACACGATAATAATTACACGTATCTATGGGTGATAGTTTGTTACAACAAACGCCTTTCTTTCATAATAGGCAAATACACAAAAAGCTACAATATCCGGTTTTCGAATGAAATAATAAAAGATATTTGTCATATTAAACAGGATGTTCATGCTTTTAATCTCTTTTAGATAAAGAGAAGCAAAGATACCTAAAATTATTATTTCGATTAGATAATTATAAAAGTCAATTAAAATACTATTTTGTAAGATCAATTATCTATAGAAATAAATAAAACTTTAAGTGTCTGTTTTTAATTTCAGATTTATTTCTTTTCAATTCATATTAAACTACATACGGTACTTACCTATATATATATAAAAAAATATGTTTTTGTCTGGCAGACTGATTTTGACAAGACTTTTACTCGCAAAATCCTAATGTTATGAGGAGTAACTTTTACGTTAGTAATTTTATTTATTTTAATAAAAAAAGTTCAATTCTACACGAACGAAGTCTCGGGCAACAGCTAGTAGGTAGGTATATGATAAAAAAATAATGAAATTACCTGCAGCCATTATTTTTAAATGCCCATTCCACATGTCCAGTTACGTCAAATTAATTACACATTAACAAGACTCACTAGTCTATGTACAATGCGAATAATTAATAATTGACTGCCTCGTGTGGTCGCAGGTTCGATTCTTCGCACGGTAAAAACATTTGTATAATTGTTTGTATTGTTCTGGGTGTTTTTGTGTACGTATTTACAAAAACTATATCTATGTATTTATATCCCATGTCGAATACCCATAACACAAGCTCTGCTTAGATTAAGACTACATGGCGCGGTGTGAAATATTCTGAGATAGTATATTTTATGTAATAATTACAAACTTTAGTCAGGCACATCTGTAACTCAATATACTTTTTGATGTTTATAGCGAAGTATCAGAAATCGAGCGTCTTGTTGAAAAATTGGGTGCAGAAGTACTAACTGCCCGTGATCAGCACGGTTACACACCTGCCCACTGGGCGGCGCTGGACGGGAGTGTGGCAGTTATGAGGTACTTGGTTGAAAGAGGAGCACCCATCGATCTATCATGTTTAGGTACTCAGGTTAGTAAATATGACATAGATACACCTACAATTTTGTACAATAGATATCTTTGTTATATTCGTATGATAGGTAGTTTTTTGAATAATTTTATACAATCCAGTAATTAAAAACTAGCTTTTAACATTAAAAATTTCTTAATGTCAAATTTCTTTTTTATACCTAGGGTCCAAGGCCAATACACTGGGCTTGCCGAAAAGGACATGCATCAGTCGTACAAGTACTTTTACAGTCAGGTGTTGCAGTTAACGCTGCGGATTTTAAAGGTATCTGAACTTGGACTATGGCATAAAATAATTGTTTCCTGACAGCTTATGATTCTCCCAGTTTCACCTATTTCATAAGTTTTCATCTTCAGTTTATAACATTTAGTTGGATAATAAGAATGTCTAACAATAAATTTGTTTCCAGAATATTCTTTTGTATTACTGAAATGGCAAATAAGCATATGATCAATTTGTGATGATAAGTGGCAATCGCCTATATTCATGAACACGACCAAGGACATCACGTCATTATTATGTTTTGATATATACATATAGGTCCGGTCCGCATGTCACGCCTCCTTACTTTGTAATTTCACTACCATATTTTGCCCTTCAATCAAAATACATCTTACAACGCAACATTTTTTTAGGTTTAACCCCTCTAATGACGGCGTGTATGTATGGGAAAACGGCAACAGCGGCATATCTTCTGGGAATGGGAGCAGCTACCAGACTCTCAGATATTAATGGAGATACCGCCTTACATTGGGCTGCTTACAAAGGACATGCTGATTTAGTCAGGCTTCTAATTTACTCAGGTGTTCCTTTACATTGCACAGACAATTTTGGTTCAACACCATTACACCTAGCTTGCTTGTCTGGCAATCTCACTTGCGTTAGATTGCTTTGTGAGAAGGTGAGTTCAAATATCCATAATATATCTTGGTTTAGTGTCTAGTGAGTCTGTAACATACAGAGGGTTTTGTGATACATGTAATAATCTTATATGTCTACTTGGTTTTACTTAAGATGTACGTAGATGACGTAAATTAAATTAAACCTTTACATTTAAATAGAAAAAACAACACAATGAAATGAACCATAAATACTCCAAACAAAAGTAAAACCTTTATTGTAAAATGAAAATATGTACTTGTAATATAAAGTATGTGTATATGACCAATATCTTCAACTTGCGCTATGTATTTTTACCAGGTGAAAGCCGAATTAGAACCCCGGGATAAAAATGGAAAGACTCCACTGATGCTTGCACAAAGTCATCGCCACGCGGAAGTAGTAAAATTATTACAAAAAGAAATGAAGCGTAAATCACATTGGATGCCGCCATTATCTGAATTATGGGCTTTATTGTTCGGTGGTGCCGGCGATTCTAAAGGTCCTCTATTATTTTTCCTAATATCCGTGTTATTATGGGGATATCCTATGTATGTGATAAGAGTAAGTAATCACTTGTATCTATTAATATTTTATCTGTACTATAATCACTTCAAAATTGAACTTTACGCATTGTCAATTAAGTAAAATGATACTAGACACTTTTATACACTGTATCATTATAATTACAATTGCAATGTGTTTGCCGATTAAAATAGACGAGACAGAGATACGCACACAAAGGTCTACCTCGGTTTTATATATACTAGATGACAATTTTGTTTACTAAATCTACTTCGTCGAGAAACTAACCCATACATGAACTCATGGAAGGCTACTATTATTACTAACCGATTAAACTAATCACGAACATCGCCGAAATAATATCAATAAGTATGTTTAATCCATGTACACGTCTAGTACATGTACCAAGCAGTAAAAACACTAATACATGTGTACTATACCACGGTACAAACATTTGTATTAAGGAGAATATAAATATTTGTATCGTGGTATGGAAATCGAATCCGCGACCATCGTCATAATTAGTAACATTCTAATTGGACATAATTTTCTGATATTTTCAGTGCATTCCTTTAACATGGAACACTCTGCGGCTTTCACATTATTGCTTTCTTTATTGGAATGTTATTATGTGGTTGAGTTGGGTAATTGCCAATCGACGGGACCCTGGGTACATTCCTCAAAATTCTGAAACCTATTATCGAGCTATCAGGCAAATACCATATTACGATAAATGGAAGAAAAGAAATGTTATTTTGTCAAGGCTATGTCACACTTGCCGGTGTCTTAGGCCTTTAAGGTAAACACTGTTAAAATAATTTAAAAACGTAGGTATGCATTGCGTACCTATTGCATAGTTTTAGAAAACGTAAATTATAAAATGTTTGAGAAAATGGTATGTTTTCATGACCATTTTATAATTTACTATATAGTTTAACGTCATCCTAACGTAACATTTGACATGCCCACATGTCGCATTCAATATAGCCGATTTGAATTCAATGCGGTAGGGGCCGACCTTAGCGCCATCTCTTGGATTAATTTGCATTTTAGCGATATTTCCTTCGCCGAAGAGTCTGTTAGAAATATGTATTGATGCAAAGTAATATGGACGACACAATCGTCCATATTATAAGAAATACTGTTAGGGTTCACATGGATATTTTCGAAAAATCTGATATTTTATATTAAAAGAAGGTAGTTTCATTATTACTCGGTATCGTTAAACTAGTTGCATATAACCCCCACTCATATCTTCGGTCTTTGAGCACAGGATGTGCTGGTTGTATTTTAATTCCTAAAGTGAATTGTGTTAGAGACATAGTTAAATTAATGTTATATAGTTGTTATTTTATTATACTACACAATATTTTATTATAATACAATTGTTATTTTACTAGTACATAGAGTTGATATATCTAACAATACGCATAATAAACTTCCATTGAGTATCATTTGAAAGTCTATTTAGCTTGTCTACAGACGGAGCAACAGCCGAATTCATATTCGCCACTCTTCTTCAAACTACAATTTCGAAAATATTAACAGAAAAGTATATTAAATTAAAATTTATTATATCTAACGCTCTGCTACCATATTGGAGAAAAATATTATTAAATAAAACGACAAGAACTGGTAGACATTAGTAAAATTGTATTATAAGAAATACGATTAACGTCAAAACATTAGAAATTATTACATTCTACAACAGCCCAGACTTAAAATTAGGACGTCTCGGTGTAAGTCTGGATGTTAACCACAAGGCATTGGCGCACCGGACGATGAATATTATAATTATCATATTATTAATGTTAATGCAACTAATTTACTTACCTTGGGTTTGTTCAACGTCATAAGCTCCATACTACGATGGCCACGCTCTCTGAAGAAACTATTACCATGTTATATGTGCTATTACATACAACTTATTGCTACCTTTACTTACTTTGCAGGGCTAAACACTGCCGCATTTGCAAGAGATGTGTGGCATATTTCGATCACCATTGTCCATTCATATACAACTGCGTCGGAGTGCGAAATCGGATGTGGTTCTTTCTATTCGTAATGAGCGTTGCTATTAATTGCACGTTGTCTATATATTTTGCCTGTTACTGCCTGTTGTTAGAGGGGTTTGGACTGCTATATGTTTTGGGGTTGTTGGAGGCTATTACTTTTTGTGCTCTCGGCTGGATCCTTACTTGTACTTCGGTGAGTTATTAAAAATCATAGAACGAAGAAATATTATAATAAATGTCGGTTTACTTGAATAATAATTTATAAGATTGACTTTATAATAATGAATCATTAGATAATCAATTTAGAACCTCTCATACTAAATTGATCACGTGATTGATTGATCGATCAAGATTATAGTAACTATTTTATTTGCTACTTTGTATTTCAGAATATGGAAATAACTATAAAATATCCAGGACTCGAACTCGAACATACTTAGAGAACAGAAACAATCTTTACTGAAATAAAATATTGTAGCTTCCTCAATTCGACCGAATGAAATACGTAGGACCTTTTACATGTTTTAGATATTTTACATGTTACGCACACATAAATCATCCATTTAATTATCTTAGGTATAGTATATATATATAGGTATATACATATAGGTTAGGTATAGTATATATATAGATATAGGTACATTATGTATGATACATTTTTAGTGACTTAGAGCTTAACTTATTCGAATACAATTCAGCCCAAAATATGGGAGATGTGTAAACAGCAATAGAATAATATCTGGAAGAAATATGATGATTTCTGTATTTTCTTTTCAGATATTACACGCCTGTATGAACTTAACTACTAATGAGATGTTTAATTACAAAAGATATCCTTATTTAAGAGACAAAAGAGGTCGCTATCAAAATCCTTTTTCGAGAGGACCAATTATGAACTTGATTGAATTTTTTGTATGCCTCCCGGATAAATGTGATGAACAGGACATATTCCACGAAGAGACTATATGATCTGAAATGGCCTGACATAGTCCTAATTTAAATTCGAAAAGGACTCAAGAATGTTTGGTTCGTTCATCAAAATTTCAACCATACTAAGATTTAAGTGCAATTCATGTAACTACAGCTTGTTATGCTTTTTTAATAAATAAAAATACCTGTATTCACAGGTTGTTATATGTTCAATTTATTACCGACCTATAAAAAATATGTTTGCTTAATTATTCATAGTTATTGTTAAAAATACAAATACCTATTTGTCGATCATAATTTGACATAAGTAGGTACGTTATAAAAACTGTCTATAGTTTCTTGCACGTGACACAAGTTACATATGTTTTTAAATAATAGATAATTACATCGATGATGAAAGACCATTATTATTATTACGTAGTAGTAGGTACATACCTATATACTCTTAGATCAATATCTATTTCATTCAAATTTTTACGATATAACGCATAAGGTAGGTAATTATTTAAAGTAACTATACTATAAAAATAATCAAATATTACAGTGTAGATATATTGATAGATTATTGTATTTAATGAATTATCGTAGAAAATTTTCATAAAGTAGACATAAGGTAGACAATGTGTTTCACCTGTCAGATCATTGGAGATTTATACTTAAAAGAGGGTTTTTTTTGTTTGTCTATCTAATCGCAAACTAAACAGAATTTTTACATACCAAACTAGGTATCCATGGTTTAGCGTCCTCAGCAATGGAAACCCAAAGCGTGTCAGACTTCGTGAAAAAATCATACTTGGACTATGCTTTTTTCACGAAATCTGACACATTCAAACAGATTTTTTTAACAACCTAACGGGCTATAGATATTATGAGAATGGCAACCATCACAGTAAACCATTACAGCGGCGTGTAACAAAGTTGGCACCGAACATGTCTCCTACGTGTACTAACACTGATGACCATGGCGATTATGGCTTCGTCGTAGTACAGAAGAAGAGTTATATGCCTCTTCTTCTATACCACGACGAAGAGGACCAACCGGAATCACTATGGCACTGCACTCACTCGGCTCAACTTCCTGTTGCGTGTTGCTACACCGACCAAGGCAATGTACCTGTCCCGTCTTCACTACGACACTAAGGGGCAGGACATTGTCGACTACATACGGACCGGTAACGCAACTGGAGTCGAATCACAACGCGAGTTTCAAGGCGTTTGTGGTCCGGGTCCCCACCAACATGCTGCCCACCTTTGTGAAGGAAGACTACTGGCCGAAAGGTGTGGTGTATCGGCGCTGCCGTAGAAGATTGCCGTCATCAGTGTCGTAACCACACATATAATTTCAATATCTTAATTTTATAATATTATTTCATATGTATGTTAGTCTATAAGGTATTTATAATATGGACCTAGTAGCCTGAAATAAATAAATAAATATTCCTACACAACATGACATGTCATGTCTATGGTTCTCCTCATATGGCCATGGTAAGCAAGCGTAATTTAAGTATGTAAGTTCATACGCTTGCGGTATACTCTGGCGGGAATGTATGAATCGATAAGATATGATAATATGAGGATGATGTCATATCAATTTCCATTTCCTAGCACTAGGTATTAGCCACGACGGGTTCCAGGGAAGACCACCGCCTGCGAATATGTTTTTTTTTTTACTCATTTAACTGGCAGCATATATAGACATCAAACATACGGTGGGCGTGAAGGCACCTATAGAAGTTAAATGATTTTTTTTCTTAACCGATCTTGAACACACATTGAATTTATTTCAATGTCATCTTGTCGTTTGAATGTACAGAACATAAAAACATGCTTATTTAGTGGATATTGAATAGGTAGGTACGAAATATTTTTCGTGTCTGCTTTTTTTGAGATACCGGAAAAAGGTAACAAATACACAGAATAACTTTCGTACTTACGCTAATGTATTTATAGTGTAAGTCCTACATAGATATTCGATTTAATTCTACAAATCCGATCAATCCTCCAACCTTCAATTTATTAACGGCTATGTAAGTTTTTGTAGATTTCAATGAAGGGTATAACTGTATCGGCATAATATAATTGCATTTATTTATGTTATTTATAATATCAGGAGTGTAAAGAATGAATAAGGTCGATCGTAATAGCGATCCCTTTGAGACTCCTCTACGAATCAATCTGAGACTGCGCCATTATGATTTTGAGTTTCCGCAACTTGTGTGCGATCGGACAAAATCATTATAAGGCGTTTTTATCACAACCATAAAATGCAAGTTTAGATATCAGAAGCTCTATATCAATAATATCAAAAGTGCGTGAAAAATATAATAAGGCCAGTGTTGGATTACGAATCCGTATAAAGAATAAATAAAAATAGGGAGTGGACTGTATTTTCTGAAAAGAAAATAATTAATGGAAAAGGAAAGAGAAATACGATTGCGCCCAGGAAGAACGTTTTTGACACTCCGAACACTCCAAAGTGATAAATAAAGTAACACCAAATATTACTCAGGAACGTCCCGATGCATGGCTAGTACAGTTTTGTGGCCACGCACTCTAGAGTGTATATTTTTATAAAAAACAATTATATTATTTTTTAAATTATATTAAATCAATAACTTTCTTGTTTAAAAATAGGTTGCGTCCTTTTCTTCCAGTTCTTATTTTCAATTACTTTTTCTTCTAAATTTGAATTTTAAGTGGCCACATGTTTTTATTGGTGGCTAGTATTAAGCAAGTAAGTAAGCAAGCGGGTGATACAACCTGCTTATAAGGAAGTATTCGGATTACAGAACAGCTAGCAATGTACTGTCCTCAACATCCCGTGCCGCCAGGATATTGCCTTTCTGAAGCCAAAATACCTCACAGGCAATATCTTATGAACCTCAAGGTTTTTACATCTGTTGCACGCATAGATATAGCTCTTTCATATTGTTTGTTTTTAATTATCTATAGAGAAAATCCTTAAATGTTCACCCACGAATTATTTTTCAAATTCATCTACTCTTGAAGGTATTAAAAATATATTGTTTATTAAAAATAAGCCTAAATACAGAATTCCAATACAAAAGAATTGAACTTGTAGCGCGGTGGTTATCCTAATTAATGTAGCGTTATATATGTTGTGATGAGGTGGCGCTACATAATATATTATTTATTGTAGTATGTAGGTAGTGAGTATACCGGTAAAATGAATGTATTATTTATTAGACATTATTAAGTTTATTGGTAGTTTGCTACATTGCTTAATAACAACGCGTCCAGTCGACGCTGAGTCGGGAAGTAGACCGATTTTAAACGTAACTTAATATCTATGTTAGTGGAGACGTAAACTAATTGGAAGAGTCTCAAGTGTTGACAGAAATATTAAAAAATATTAAAAAGTGTAGGCACAAACTTGTATGAAATAAACTTGTTGTATACCCGTATAAAATAGAATATGAATTCTTATATGTATATTATTGTGAAATTCTGCCCTGTAGGTGAATGTGTAATTCTTACGGGTAAGAAAACAAAACATGTAAGATGCATCAAAAACATTTTATTTAATATAATAAACTTTTTCATTAATATGCATTTATAATGTGCAATTTATCGTATTATACTACAAATGTCTTATACACATAAGCCTTATATAAATATAAAAAATATAAATAAATTTTATATAAAATTTATAAAATAATAAAAATATCACTTGATGCTTGAGCACACGTTTCTTTACAATCGCTGATTACTCGGAAGGTATTATATTGAATATTTGTGCTAAGTAGATACTATAAACGTTTACACATGAGGTCATTACTAAATAAAATATGAGGAATATAATACTGATGTGTTGTCTAGATTTATCAATTATGTTGATAATCAGTTAAGAAAACATATTATATCTTTCATGACTTCATTATAACTGGGGTTGATTTAACGCTACACTGGAAAATTGCAAATAATATAGATATTATATGTTTTATTTAATATTTTACAATGGTATTTAATCAGTAAATAAGGGATAAAAATATTAAATTGTAGCAGCTAATTATTATATGATAAATACAAACAGATACCTATATCTTATATTGTCATATCTTAAATACATATTTGCTCAGGACAAAATCGTACCTATATGGTAATAACCGTAAATAGTTGTCAAAAGTTTGCACCGGAAACTAGTAATTTGACAGAACATAAATAAATAATGTAATATGCAAGGAATTAAAATTACCATGAACTATTTAGCAATAACCAAATTATCATTAAGAATTTAACATTAAATTTTAATGATCTTGAGAGTAATGCACTCTATTAGGTAAGTATATATTTGTACCAAATCATTAATATGATTTTAAAGAAGTCTAAATTAAAATATTCCTATCGTATATCATTTAATTATTTGTACCTATAGGCATGGTATTTGTACCTATTGTAATTATTTGTATATATGGTTACCGAAACTACTAGAAATATTTTTGAATTTTTAGTCTGTCAGTTAGATAATGTCCTAGGCCATAATTTTAGTCTGTTTTAGAAATTTAATTAAATAAAATGTTTTTTTTTATTAATTTATACGAATGCTTTAATCATCCTTTGGGTTAATTCTTATAGCTGCCTTCTTTTCCTCTGGTGAGTGATCTTTGTCGCCCCATCCCCATAAATGGTGAGAGCCGTCACCGGTGCGCTTAACTCGGGTTTGAATAATCTCTTCAGAAACAGTTTTGAGGTCATACGCCCAACCGATTTTGGCAAAGAAGTTAATGAAGTGTGTTGTGAAATTTAGCCTGTTGTTGCCAAGTTCGGCAGTTTTGTAATCCCAAGGAAATGTGTGATGGTAATTGTGGAAACCCTCTCCGAGTGCAAAGAATGTGACTGAGATATTCTCAACAGGCTTGATGTTTTTGTCGTAAGGCTTCTGTCCCCATTTGTGGGCTGCTGAATTAACGAGCCAGGTAATGTTCAGGATGAAAGCATACCGGAATAGAGTCGCAACAAAGAAAGCGTTCGTCCATGTTTCATTCCAGAAGTATACAGGAGCGAGAGTCGGTAAGATGAAGCAGACGAGAGGCATAAGAATTAGGTAATACCTGAAAACAAAAAGTGATTAATTTCTATAGTTTGATAAATAAAAAACAATGACTTTGAAAAAATATTCCAATTAAAATTCGTAAAATAAGTAATCTTATATTAT